CATTGATTTTGGCCCGATTAATCGTCAAGACGTTTATAATCTTTGATACTTATACATATAAGCATCTCATTTTTAATGAGATTAATCGGGATCTTGACGATTAATCGGGCCAAAATCAATGGTCGAATCGTCACGACGATTATAAAAATTATTGCCAGTCAGGCCGATTCGATTCATACGTCTTAATTATTAAATCTTGAACTTTAAATTAATTATGAGGACAAGATCTTATTTACCACAAATTATTTTTCAAAAGAGAAAAAAGACTTACGGTGCAAAATACAGCCAAAAAGCATAATGCTATGGCGCTTTTCATACTTGCTCGTTCACTCGAGAATCACTCGAGAGTCGTACAAATTGACACCAGAAATACACTAACTGACGATCGATATTAATTTCATTCTTTTATACATTTGACGTCTCGATGGAACATGAGTTCTTAATGGAATACCATAATACTACATTTATTTTGATAAGCTATTAGAGATAGCATAGAGTATAATCCATTTTCATGATAAGATGCGAGTGATGCGACTTATCGTAAACAATGTTTAGAGTTTGCACGAAATACGCGATGAGTGACTGATGAGTCGCGATCGAATAGGGAGTATAGGTATATAAGGAAACGTATATCGGCGAATAACTCTCCAATAATTTTTTAATTATTTTTATTTCTCTTGAGTATATCAGATACATAAAAAATATCTTTTAAAACATATATCGTATAAAGCTCTCAATTTAGAGGAGCGTACGATTAACAAGCAAAGTTTTGCTTCGATACGCATAATCGTAACGACATATATCCTTGGCAAATTGATCGTTTTGATTTGACTCATTGTCAAGATGTATCGTTTTCTCTCGAGTATTAATTATTTCAAACGTAATCGACAAATCGTAATCGACAAATGCACTGTTAGTAACGCCTGTCTTAAGCAACCAAATCATATCTATCCTCTTTGTCCAAGGCATCTCGAACACATCTGGAATTAGACATCATTGCGCCCTCACTTTCGAAGCGCGCTAACAAGTAAGCCTCGTCCAGACATTCGGTGGCCTTTAGAACGACGTAGTTGGACACTGGTAATGCGCTGCTCTCGATGTGTTTGACGTCCTCCTCAAACTGCTTCACGTCGGTATTGACTTTCGCGAACTCAATGAGGATGCAGCTATCCTCTTTCATAGTATCGTCGCTGTGGCAGTCCCTGATGAGATCATTCAATTCTTCTATCAGATTATTTCCAACCTGTGGAAGACACGACAATCGACGTCATTACTGATTATAATTCACGTTAATTACATTCAGATCTCAGAGCAAAGAGATTCGAGTAAGTTAATGAGAACATACCGATATGAAGCTCTCGAGAAACCCAAGGCTATTCTCAATGGATTTCTCAGCATTTTCTTGACATTCTGCAGCAGCTTTGTTTGCTACGTCGGTATGCTCGATTATGGCCTGACGATTAGTATCGTAGCAGTCTTTCGCGTCTACGCCTCTAAACTTGGCGTTATTTACTTCCCTCTAAAATACAAAATTAACGACTAATGAGTAATGATTATATTTGACAGATTATTTGATTTGCAAATTTTTTGACAAACTTGACTCGGGTCTGGATTATAAAAACACAAATTATCGTAATATCAGTTAATCTATTTAAAACAAGCGGCTTTTAATACAATAGCAACAGCATTTTGCAACACAATATTTTCAAATATTATTGAAACGATACATTCTCAGAAAAGATTTCTAGATACAATACTATTAGGATCGAAATAGGGCCAATCATATTTAGTATTGAAAGAAGAATATTTTAATCTTAAATAGAGGAATTCTTAAATCTAGAATAATTCTGAGAAAATTAGAGGGATAGCATCAAGATTATTTTATTCTAGATTTAAGAATTCCTCTATTTAAGATTAAAATATTCTTCTTTCAATACTATAAATATGATTGGCCCTATTTCGACCCTAATAGTATTGTATCTAGAAATCTTTTCTGTGGGTGATTTTATTACACGATTATCCAAATTTTCATGCACGAATTGATATTGATTAGCACTTTATCTTTAATATAAAAAAAAGTTGTGAAATGCACTAAATGTTAACAAGTGCGTTCTGCATAAGACACCATAAAAATCATTCCTTAATCACATAATTACATAATACAGTATAATACGGAATGAAATTACGAACGTGAGCCTTGTCTCACATTCTCTCGTTATCTTTTATAACAGTTTCATAACAGTTCAAAATAGCATTTTATTTGCATAAATCTTTACATTTCGATAATAAATATCGAGATAAATTTATCGAGAGATCGATATATATCTAAAAATATTTGTTCGGTATGTATATTACCTATGTATCTTTAACAACTATAGTTTAGTTAGGTAACGAAATAAGTTTAGATTACGAAATAAATGGACAAAATAAACGCAGTATATGCGTCTCAATTATATAAATTAAATCGGTTCGAATTAATACTCACGCGCATCGATTCGAGTATTTGATCGACGTAATCTCTGTGACTATCCATTTGTTCCCAGAATCTTCTAATTACTGTCACGACGGTGTCCTCCTTAGTATCAGCATGGACACGCTCGACTCGCTGTAAAGTACTCTCCACGTTCCGTATTGCGCTTCTTACTTCTAACCTTGGTCTTTCCAAATTATCTTTTAGTGGAATGGCATAGACCTAAGTGCGAAAAATAAATGCTGTATTAACGTACGCGAAAGCGTTATTTCAATCAATCGTATCAATTCTTGCAACTCTGGCCGATTTGAATCAACATTTAAGTTTAGTCAGTGAGAGTATATTGTACAAAACGATAAAAGAGAAGGAAAATTTAAATCGCGCTAAAAAAAAAGAAAGCGATTCCGAACATTCCCAACTTCAGAAAACATTTATTTTAAAAATGATATTATATATATGTTAAATGTTTATTTTTATTATACAAACTTCCATCTTGGCTATCTTTTGACCGCTTTGACGATCTTTTCTAGCAAAGAAAAGATACTTGAACTTACGGTACAAAGTACAGCCGAAAGGCACAACGCTATGGCGATCAGTTGCATGCTTGCGTATTGGTGTCACCTGGGAGTGGCTCTGTTAACAAGAGAATTCGACTAACTGATAAGTATTACATTAATTACGCCTTTTTATATACAAGGTATGATAAAAAAAAACATTTTAACAAGCTTCGAGAGGTGGTAGGAAAGGAGGGGAGAACAATTAAGATAAGCATCCTGCTTAATCCTACTTAATAATCAATGTCTAAAAATGTTTGATCTCAAAGATACCAAGTCAATATCGCTATAATAAATAGTAGTCCTGTTTGAACTTTGAAAAGTCTAATGATTAAGTTTATTTGATCATAATGAAAGATTGCGGAATATTTCGTCTTTAATTCTGTAACCAACATCTTAAAAAATTACCGAGTCCGCGTGCAATGGTGCTATTTAATCTCTATCACTTCTACGTAATCGTACAATAGATTAGATTCATTAGATTTAGATAATTTACATTATATAAGTTTTGTGAAAGAGATAACGCGTGTTAAAATTCATTTGTATGTGATGTTATGAAGATAAGACGCGGCTTATCGCATCTAATTTTGCGACTTTACGCGAAACGTACGCGCGATGAAGGTCAATGGCAACTGACAAGCGTATAAGAATAGCATGGACAAATAATTCTCGTTTTGCAGATATTTTTATTTCTTTCACACATTACATTACATACGGAATTACTCTTTTGAAAAATAGTATGAAACTCCAATCTTGGGACATGTACTACGAACTATGCTTTATATAGTTTTATTCGGTACAGAGTTACAGAGTGTCGCGTAATATCGTGATACATGTTTTTCTTTTTCGAAATGACAATCTTGAGACGTCAATTCTGACTTCCTGATTTTCTCGAGAATTACACTTTCAACGAACAATAGTCGTGATCGGCAAATGCAGTGATCTTAAAGTTATGGGCTTGGTTTTTCTGTCGCGGTCGCCACCGCACGCGAAGTTCCAATGCATAGAGTGAGTCCCATTTTGATCGAAGATCCCGTTGTATATGTGACGGAATAGGCCTGTTTTACGCAGTTGCTAGTCCGCGTGACGAAATTCTTGGACACGGGCGCAATAGTGGTCTCTGCGGTAGTTCTGTCCTGTTCCAAGGACCTCAGAGAGGCTTCTGTTTTCGCCAATTCGCCGTTGATACAGCTTTCCATCCTGTATCTGTCAGTATTGTGACACTCCAGGAAGACATTGTCCAAATCCGTCAACAATGTTTCTCCAGTCTGTAGGGAGGGGAAATTAATGCGATTAGAATTTCAGTACTAATACTATTAATAACTAATTACAATGAATCGATTGCAATATATCGATGTAACTATCGTAAAAACATACCGAGACGAGATTGTCGACAAAACTGAGAGACTTATGGATGGAGTCGCGAGCGTCGTCTACGCATTTTATAGCATCGTCATACGCCGCTTTCTCACTCTTCTTGATACCATCGACGGCCTTGTCGTAGCATGAGTCCAATGATCTCGTGTCTTTGCCCGCCGCCTTAGCGTCGTTTACTTCATTCTAAAGATAAATAATTCTTTAATATAACATTATAAAACAAATGAACTAATGCATTTTACGTGTCTGTTATATCTATATTTTATCAACCATCAAAGTCATCGAACTATTATCATGCATTATCACGGAATTTTACGTGTATCTTTGATCTTTTACATTCAGGTATATGTATAATCGTTTAGATTTAGATTCACACAGGTTTTTCGACAAACTTGAGCTTGATTCTGACTTGAAGAAAAGACGTTTAAAATAAATACTTGTACATATAATTTTTATTTAGAGTAACATTTTATATATGATCCGATATATGTTTTAATATAATCTTGAGACGATATTATTACTCAATTATTCGACAATTTTCGTGTGTACAAGTGTCACAATATTATAACTATATATTCGATTATTATAAGTATACATTATACGTATATTCGATTATTATGAAAATATTACTCGGCTATCTAATGCACTATATAATTAAAGGATATAATTTGAGATTAAGAATTCAGATTGCAGCGATCTCATACGAGTTATAGTTTCGAAGATCGATATATCCCTGACAATTTGTTAGATTCGTCAATAATCACGAGACAAAAGTGAAAAAAATTACAGCATCTTGGTCGCAGATCGATTCTAATTATTACTTACACGTATTCCAGAAATTAATATAGTTTTATATGTTCTGTGGTTGTCTTGTTCTTCATTCCATTTTTCCGAGACTTGTCGAAGGGTATCATCCTCGGCATGGATACGGAGTAGTTCTAGATCACGTATAGTAGTCTGTACATTCCATTTCGTGTTCCTTACTCGAATCCTCAGATTTTCCAAACTGGTCGACGTCGGAACGGCTTCGATCTAAAATCGGGGGGAAGGGGGATGAGGGAAAAAATTAACGAGCGCATCATTCAGATTGCAACTACACGTTCGTACGAGTTTTATCCATTTCAATTAGTGTTTAATTATAATATTTGGGTTAATCGGTAAAGATATTATACAAAAAGATAAAATGGAATTTTAATACTTTGAGGAGAACAATACAAACATTTTTTCCTTTGCAACCATGGTCGTCTTATTTATCGTTGAGTAATGATCAATTTTATTAAATCTTACCAACTATGCTTTAAAAACTAAGATTTTCTACAAATAAAATCCAAACTGTTGCATTTATTAATATAACTAATTGTTTTCCAATAAGAAACTTACGGTACAAAGTGCAGCCAAAAAGGATAATGCGATGGTGATCTTCATGATTGTTTATCGATATTACCAGGATGTCGCTCGAATTCACACCAAAAATCGGCTAACTGACAAGTGGTATTAATTGCTCCGTTTTATATATACAATGTCTTGGTAAGAATACCAATGATTACATATTACGATAACGATCGTAGAGATAACGATTACAGAACCTGTCTAAATATTTTTTCAGCAACACTCTCCCTCTTACCGTGGCCCTTAATCTTTTTCGTGATTTTATATCAAAGTCGAGAGCCACTTAATTTTGTCTAACTTATTTTCATTCTAAGCGAGCCGCGAGAATTTCGCAAGCCACCGATTAACTCATATTTTTTAGATTAAACAATTAGTTATTTTTGCTGTAATATTTGCTTATAACAACGACCTCCTCGAGACTCTAAGCAGATGTCAAAAAGTATGAACAAGTGTTTCTTTGACAAATGACTGTTCAAACATTTCTTTTTCTCAGAAAATTTATTATGTAACATCGACATGTGTTTGCGACAAGAAATTTTCCTCGTTAAAAGAGAAAGATTTCGTAGCAAAAATTATTATGTCCCATAAGGATCTTTATATCCGTATAGGTTTTTTTTACAAACAATTGAGGAAGGTTTTTAAAGGTAAAATCCCCATGTTTTAACAAACTGCCTGCAATATCACATGAAATTGTTCGTTTAGATAAATGTAATTTTTTAAAAATAAATTCTTTCTATTGTTGATGCGGCTGCATTTGAGTAAAAAATATGATAAAAGTAGATTATTTCGTTAAATCATGACACCAAAGTTATGTTAAAAAGACATTTCACATTGTGTTAGGTTGCATTAGAGATGTAACTGATAAACTACGTACATTGTTAAATATAATTCACAACAGACTTTATTTGATTATATCATATATTATATATATATATATATATATATATATATCTTAACATATATATATATATAATTTATATTTATATATATGTATCAGGAAATACATGAAGCATGTAAAAAATGTGATCGCCGCCATCGCAAAGGTGCATACCGTGAATGGCTTAAATAAAATCACAAAGAAGAATCGCACTGATGCGCGATGCAAAAAGTATAGACACAAATAAATTACAAAGTCACAGTATTAAACATCAGAACGAAATATACACCGCGCGTTCGCATTAATAAACTTAATCACCTATTTACTAGGATCACAGTTACACACACACATTCATAATATGTGTAGATCAGTACACACTGTTTTCGGCTTTTTACTCGTCAAGGATATATCGAATCGTTATCCCCACATTTGTACATCGCTCTAAAATAAATGAATCTAAATAAATATAATGTCGTCTAAAAAAAGCTTATGACTAGGTGATATATCTCTATATCTTCGATGGCGCCGCTAGCGATAATACTACTGTCGCATTTCGATAGAAATAAAAGTATTCGCGATTAAGCTTCGATTAAAAGTGACTATACAAGCGCGTGATAATGTGTATTATATCGTACGGCTTAAAAACAATTTTAATACACTGTACATCACTTATTATATCGTCCTGGGGTATTCAGGTAATTTGCACTTTTCAGCTCGTCCTCTCTCAGCAATTCTCACTTGTTCTCTTCGTTCCGTTTCCGAGGGTGAGATTACAGTTACGGCTGCTGGGTGGGACCACGGTTATAATTGCGATCGTGAAGGGTCCTCGAGAAGAGGGGCTAAGTTTGAACACTGCGTACACATGATCGTGGTACCAAACCTCTTCGATCACCTTTCGCGCACAATAACCACTTATTATCCACTTCTAATATTACTTTCAGTTTGTCCCCCTCCGCGAATGAAAGGTGACCGGTGTCCGACGGTATCCTATGAGTGAGAGTACGGACTTCTCTGCAATCGAGACGCGCGAACCGTTATCGTATAGATCTAAAGGAAGAAAGAAAGAAAGAAAAGAGCTAAAGTACAAAGCAGAACGGTAACAAAGGTAGAAAAGCGTAGCGTTAATAAACAAAAGTTACATTATTTCATTTGTAATGTAGCTCGTGTAAATAAATAATATATTGCAACCAATATAAAAATCGAAAAAAAGGTAATAGATTCTAAAAAATAGTACATGCTCGTGAACTATCCGTACTTACTTGTGTGGATGTTTCGAAACTGGTGTCCTCGAAACGGTGGTAACAGGTCGTGGTAGAGAGGTCGAAACGGCTCGTCTGTGAGGTGAGATTAGATTCTTGTCGTTCGACGTTACTCCGTGCGATTTATATGGTAAGGAACTCGGGCGTGCAGTGTGAGTTCGCGTCACACCTAGAGTATCTTGATCGACGCGGCTGGTACGACGCATCACATCTCTCGCTTTCGTATCCGTAGATTTCTTTAGGGTTGTCTTTGTTGTAGGAAGGCTAGCAGGTTTCTTTAACCCCGAAGAGATTCCTGATATGGGTGATTTTGATGATTTTCCGGCGATATTCGCCGCAACATTAGACTGCTTCACTGGTGATGTGAGCAATCTAGGTATTTTTGATTTCCCTAACACTCCGAATGTTCGAACCGGCGAGGAAGGAGTTATTACGGCGGGTTGAACCTTACTACCTTCCTTACCAATCATCAATTCCCATTTTTCCTGCAGTTTTTTGAATTTTGTTTCAGCAGGAAGACCATCGTCGTCACTCGGTTTAATATCAGGGTTAAAAAATTTAGATTGTGGCTGCTTGTTTGCTTTCTTATTTAGTGGGGAATGTTCCAAGCTGTCTGTATAATCTTCGGAATCTTCGGAAGTTAATTTGTCCAACGCATAAAACGCCTTCGGATTTATGGCACTGAAACGTTTCTTTGCATTCTGAAGGTCCCCTTTATGCACGATGCTGCATTTATCATCCATGTTGTAAGCGATGCAAGATCTTGGTCGTGTCTTTTTCGGGCTGGGAACCATTCCGCAGGATTGCGTTTCTTCACTCTCGAGGTCTTTCATAGTCAGATCAGTGTTTCTGAAGCTCATAGCCTACAAAATCGTCGAATGAACGTACGCAATGATATAAATATATATATAGGTTTACTTACATTCATAGTATGATTATTCATATTCCCAAAGCTATTTTGCAATTGACGATACTGATAGAGAAGATCCAAGTGAAATGGACAGAATGCAAGCGGATTTAGGATGTATAATAATGAATCAACAATTTCTCGGACATTGGCATTAGCTAAAGCCGCGACAAATAAGCTATTGTTATTGTAATGTTTCCGTAAAATTGATTCACGTGTACATAAATACGCAAACCATGCATCCAGAGCTCTTAGGCTAGAAAAGAACAGAATGGGAATTAATTATATAATCAATTCGATAAAAGAATAAAAATCGGAGATATTATACATAAGAAATATAAATGGAATACATGATAATTTCAGGACTTATATATGTACAGAAAGACTAGCGATTCTTACTTTAGCAAGCCGAATACAAATGCATGGAACTTCAACATTCCCTCTGTAATAACATCTTCGCCATTAATTCTCTGCACTAATTCATTTAATGTCTTCGTAAGGGGTCCTTGTTGAGAACTAGCTTCGACGACCTGCCAAACGCTATTAGTAATTGGTCCAAAGGTGGAATTCAAATGGGGTTTCAAACCATCCGACATAATAGCGTATAAAGCTGGGCATAAATTACTCAGACAGATTTGCGCACACTCGTTTCTTTCATTATAATTGGGACGACTATGATTGGAGTCGGCGTTCCAATACTTTAATAAAAGATCCACCGCTCTATTTACAGACAACACCATTTCTGGAAAGAGTACACCACATTAAGGATTTCGAGATATTTTTACTTGATAATGTCAGATAATGAATAAAACGCGCATACTTTTTTTCTCTTCCAGTTCTACTAATCTATCCTCAGCCGCCTCGTAGCTTTGTTCATTTACGACGACATTCAGATTATTTAGCTGAAAATGAGTAAATATTCTTACATGTACGCTACAACGGAGCAAGTATATGAAGAACCAGAAATCCACTCGTGCTAAAATTAATATAGTGGTTTACCTTGGCGTCCAGATGCTTTTTTCTTTGCTGCACGGCAAAACTGACGGTTTTTCTTTGCGATTCTCCCATATCAATATTTCTAATGAGTGGATCTTTGTTCATTTTTAAAGCTAAAAATTTTCTTACGTATGATCTCACTTTAACTTCAGCATTGTCGATATCTCCGTCGCTACTTTGCGACGAGATTGCGCTACGTTTCAAATATTCTTCTAATTGCTTGATGTCATCGTCACTGTGTTGAGAAGTTTCCGATTCCACATTCGCGTTATTCGTAATATCATTTAATTTTTCTATAATAATTATATTATCAAGCATATTAAACGATATATATGTCTCAATCAAAAGCAATTCGTAATAAAAATCTGAATAAATAAATGTCAAATGATTCATCCTTACCTTTAAGATATCTCTCCGCTTCTGTCTCATCGACGTCCTTCTCCGAATCGATCGTTCTTTCGCGACATAATAACTGCAAATCATTATTCATATAGTACGGTTCTTGCAAGGACATTCTCTTGTTTATTTCCACAGACTGTTCTTCCGATTGTTCGCCCACGTCTCCCATCTCAAACATGCTGTATCGTTTACTCGCGAGAACCTTGTTCTTTCGCAAAATGCTCCTCGGCAACGGTGGTCGCGGCGGTACTCTGCCATTATTAAAATCAGATTCACCTTCGCCTTGCGGTAACGATACGGATCGCTTTGGGAGAGACGGATAGGCTTGCCTCGTTTGATTGAGTCTGTGCATTTTCTTGTCGTTATTCACTAAACTGGCCTCCGAACTAATACTGTCATAACGATATAAATACAACGGATTGATCGCATTGTTCGACAATGGCTGCTGATTCGTCGAGGAATCAGTTAAAATCGTCGACGAGCCTCTATACCCGGAAGATGGTTGCGTCGCGGTGCTGCTCGTTGATGAAGTATTGTTCGGTATAATTTCGCTGATCGGTCGCGTCTTGTGACGCATCGGCGGGGACAGGCAGAACAAGGGCCGCTTAACTTCCTCATTGATATTAATGTATCTCGATACTTCCGGTACATCGTGCAAAATCTTTTTGTATTCATACGGCAGAAGGAACGTTAGTGACTCCCAATCCTTTATGTGCGCGAATCCGCGTTGTCGTAGAGCGTCGATATCGTTACACGAAAATGGTCTACCCGAACGAACGGTACGTTTCCATTCCATCTTCTGTCCATTTCTGTCAAATGTGTGCGGTTTCAACGCGATATTATCCATATTGGCATCCTTAACTTTAAGAAACGACAAGTCGGGCAACGTATAATTAGGATACACAACGTAGACAGGCTTTTTGTTAACTGTCGTTTCTTGCAGGAGAGGACCATGTTTCTCCTTCAACGCGGTAAAAATTAAGGAAGTTTGAACCGCGTTGTCCTCCATTTCTGCATTTGCTTGTATTCCGGTTGTTCGAAAGATCGGGTGTTTCTTTTCCGTTAAGCCGGCGGTCCAACCGTTCTTCTGCTCGAAGGGATTGTTGATATCGAAGCTCCGTTGATCGATCGCGCAGTCCGACTTGGACGTACTCTCCGAAAGTTCTTCCACCGATGCGGATGACGCCATTTCGACTTTATCATCTTCGTTTCGTATCGCACACTTAAAAACATTCAAGCTGTCTCTCTGATTTTCCACGTCACGATTATCAGTCACATCGCGCTTGATCCAATTTATAGAGAAATCGTTTTCAAGCACGCGACGGTCACAAATGTTATCTTGACCATTTTGCCGTTGTATCTGAGTGTTGGTGTTGGTCGCGCTGTCGCTACCACTGTTGCTAGTGGGCCAGCCACTGTTGTCGCTAACGGAATCCGACTGATCCAAAGTAAGACTCATTCCCTCCACGCTCATGCTCTTTTGCTTCATGAACAGCCTGACGAGACTTAAATTTTGCAGCTTCTTTGTACCAGCATTTTCCCCGTTGTCGGAACTTTCCGCATTTGTCGAACGACTCATCGCGGATCCAGAACTATGCAACCGCTGCATATGGTTGCTTGATTCGGCGGAATCAACCTGTCAACAGATATATAAAATTTATATCATAAAATCACACAAAGTACGATCATTACAAATTCGCATAAGTAAATTTATCTACATTTATCTGTATCTACACTTACACTAAAATTAAGAGGTATATTAGTATGCTGGAATTCACGAACGCGAGAGAGATCCGGTAAGCTTTGGCTCCGTTTATTCATCCCACCGAGCGTCAGATTAGCGGCACACTGTGAGATATCTGGTATCGTGTTATTGTTACCGGAAGGATGACGAGTTATTACTTTATTCATAGAGGAATGTTTCAGATTACTCCACGTCGTATATATCTTTGAGTCTGAACATGCCATTGATAAATCCAGCATAGCTTTCATGTCTTTCGGCTTATCGTAAAATACATCTGGTGATTCATAAGTCTTGTGTTTATCTAAAAATAACGTGAGTTGAGCAATTAAAAGAAACGAAGAAAATACAGTAGACAACGTTTAAAAGGCAAAGTATTTTCAATTACTAGTAAACATTTGAAACTGATTTGACGTATTAGTCTATCTCTACATGTGGGCTATACATTACCATGATTTTCAAAATCTTGAGAGCCATCCGAATACATAGTCATGCTGCCCTCAAAAGCGATAGTATAATTGTTTTTATTATTCGTTTGACAGGTGAGTAACATATCTTCGCAGTCGAGTGAATCTACGCTGTAGCTGCCACCCGGTGGTAGCATTGGTGTCTCTTTTACTGGAGAAAATAGCAACGATGACTTGCATATGGATATTGTATCAGCGGTGGAACATGCGGAATCTTCTCCCTTTAAATAGTAATATGCGATTGGTAACATAAATTGTAAGACTATAATACTACTTGTTTTATATAGGTATATATAATCCACATCTATGTAGTACTAGTCAAGATTTCAATTAACTAGATACTAAATAGGATTATGTATTTCAGGTATTAACGAGAGGTATTAACTCTTATTAAAATAATAAAATTTCATTCAATTAATATTAATTAAACTTAATATTATAATACGTTGGTATCCATGCGAAAATACAAAAAGCGGACGTAAGATTGTTAGTAAGATGGGTTGAATATCAAATGTATGGGGAACACTGTTTATAGCACGTGGGATTGACTGGATTGTGCTTCCAGCCGTTGTCATACCTGGCTACTGGTATGAGGGCTGATGGAGGAACCGATGTCAAGCTTTTCCATGACAGATCCAGATATACTGGCATACTGTTCCCTTTGATAGTTAAACTGTGGCGATAATGGAACATACACCAGACTTAGAATGTTACATAAAAAATTTTAAAATAAAACGCGAAAGTGCGCAAAACTGGATTCCCATTTGAATTTAAAGCTTTGTGTAAACTGCCATGTAAAGTAACGTCGCGATGACGTAAATGTGAAACTGATGAATGATCATTTTAAACAACTTTCCTGATACACATTTGGCATATTTGGCATCTGTCAGTTTACATTCAGCTTAGATGATGAATTTGCAATAATAGGAGTTAATTAAATTTATGCCGTATCGAGCCTTTACTTCGGAATGTTGAACTGGTTCCGTGCACATGACAGGCAAAGCCGTAAGGAGGGTGTGAATGTCCGCCGTACGAAAGCTCTCCATGTCAATCTCCGCCAGATTAGCGTCCAAGTTACGAGCAAGGTCGTCATAATAACCCAGATCCTTGGGAGAATAGGATGCGGAAAGCGACGAAAGAACACTGGGATGGATATGTAGTCCTCCATCTCTATATCTAAAAGTAAGGATATGCGTCAGGGTACAATACCTTGCAATAATATTGTCGAACGTCGAAATAGGCCGAGATGTGCTGACGCACGTACTTACCCATAATCGATAAACCATTGATATTCAACATTGTCTTGAACAAACTCGGAGCCAACGAGATCCTGCTGGATAGAATCCGTCGCCGGGTTAGAATTGCAATCCGATCCTGGAGTTTGCGGTTCTTCCATTCCTGTTACGCCTTCTCCTGCGACGCCTGTGACTGAAGAAGAAACTGGGTCATCGTACGCGTACAGCAAGAAAAATATGTGTTTACATAATCGAGTGGAAAGACAAATGTCGTAACGAAAGGTATGTACTCCGATCCGAGTAAGTGCGTGCGTCACGCAGCTTCCTTTCGCTTCCTACGTAAAGTACGTTGAATCGATCGTGATCAAAGAAGCGGCGAGATCCGAACAACCGAGCAACCGAGCATTCGTAAGAGGCGCGGTGCGTTTGCGAAACGACTTACGGAGGTAGCTTTCAGCGGCATTGGCAGAAGGACGCGAGCTCGCCAAGGCGTCCGCGTCTGCGTCCACGTCCGTAGGAGGACTCGACCTGGACCGCCTGGACGATTCATTAGTTCGCGTCATAAAAGTCGTGGAAAAATACGATTCGCGCATCGCAGTTTCGTAACCCTAGTCTCGCGTCAGTCGCGTCCAGCGAAGCGCACCTCGGCGCATCTCCCTCTTTCTCTAACCAGTCTAACCTCTCTCTGTCAACTTGGAACGAACGATCTCGCGTACCCACCACGTGATCCCGCCGTTCCCGTCTTCCTTCTCGACATAGATAATAGACCGTCACATTTACAATCACGGTTATTGCCGTTATTGGGTTTTTGGGTTATGATCGCGCGGTCTACGTAAGTATAGTACTTGACAGTTGACACGAGATGTCCGCGACCAGCGTATGCTCTGCTCGTCTGCTCGTCGTTCTAGCAGTGCATCCTGCACCTTCCCGCGTTCTCTGCACTTGACGCGAGATAAGGGAAACGTCAATTATCCAGATACCGATTAGGTCGATTAGGAGAATCGGGAGAGGGGAGGAGCCCAGGTCCAGGCCCCAGGCGCCCAGCGGGTGAATAGAAATTCTGAATTTAGGTATTACGAAAAAGTAACAGCGAACGAGAACAGGAACAGATAGGTTACAGCTGTCTCTTGACTTTATCGCATCTTTTTTCGGCCGCCAAAATTTTTTTTACGAGTATCACGAGTATGCAATAAATCTACATTCTGCACGCGCGCGCGTTATCGGATAACGTTACATGCTCTTCGCATATAAAATATTCTACGTATAAGCATGATTGTTGGAGAGACGTGTATGTCGTATATGAATAAAAAAATTGCCCATTTTAGAGAGATAAAATTTCATCTGCTCGCGCGAATAAGTAATAGGAATATGGAATATATTTGTTTTTATTTTTTACATATATATCCTATAGAGTTATTTCCTCTACAATAAAAGAAAAATAGTGTATCGCTGTTTTACAAACGCGGAATTATTTAAAATTGGCCGACACGCATGAATCAAATGGATTTGATACGAGCTAGGTGGGGACGGGGACGGGGACTGGGGAACCCAAACGCCGATGGCCGACGGCCGACGGGCACCGATGCAGTGGATGCAGTGCGATGCGGCAGGGAGCGACGGCGACGGAGCGTTTCGCATCCTTACGTTTTCGCGAGATGCATCTATAATCATCGCCATAGGATTGTCGACGCTGCCTACGCTTGGGCGACGGGTTCCTGCATCGGCTGTATCGGCTATACGAGCTATATCGGTCGCACCGCCTGCATCGCCTACATCGCCTGTCGCAAGTGGGTGGTGGCGGCGGCGGCGGCGGCCGCGCCGTGGGACTGGGACTCGTCCGGCCCACGGAGATCTCGGCTATCTTCATGACGATGCACAGCAACAGCACTAACATCATTCGTCGACGAGTACGACGAGTTAGATTCGCGCTCCCGGCTTCCGGCCGTTCGCTATATCATAATAGCGTTTCCGTCACCACGTCCAAGGGTCCAAGTGCAGCGACGATATCACGATAAAGTCCGCGATAGCGAGATAATCGTTCGTTCGCACGATTTCCAAGCGCAGCGATAAGTCCTCTACGTTTCTTTAGCGCGACACTTGACCTGAGATGCGTTTTTTTTTTCCAATTCTCGATTCTGTAGGAAGCTTCTTATTAGTCACTTTGCGTCCTGAGAGGGACCGAGACTATACCGAGAGGCGATCGACATCGTCGACGTTGAACGCGCGAAGCGAGAAAAGACGCACTGCGAAATGATTCATCTGAAATATCAGTATCCGCTAATATCCTCGCAGCTTAGAGCTTAGCGAGATACCATTTAAGATCATTAACTACATCGTTAACTATATAGGCTATAGGCTATAGGTAGTTGGAGTTTGCCGGTTTGCGTGGCAGCGTGGCTGTCACAAAATTTCCGTCCACCTACGCACCTACGCTCCCAAATATCGCGGAGTAAGAAACTGCGACTTAAATAAAGCTGATTTAGAACATTTAAATTTTTGCGCAGTTTCATAGAAATATATGATGTAACACGTCACATACAAAGTCTGAGAATAATCGTAGATTATGAAAGCGATAATCCGTTAAAGTTAAAGATTATATATTTTCAGGTATTTGTATCGAGCCCTTCGAGCCCATTGGACTCATTTGATAATCACAAAACGTTCTTTACGAATGTTATTATTACTATCAAAGTCCATAATTATAAAGCGGATAGATTCGTTGAACACGTTTCTTTAAAGATCTACTGGAACGTTCCGTATAAATTCCGTCTGGCAAATTGGCAATTCCGAATCTATAACTGTTAGCAAGATTGAGCGAGATTACGCAGAGAGAACTCGGGCTCGAACGGCAAGTTCCAGTTATACTAATTAACTAATCGATCGGTAGTTGGGAACGACCTCGCGATGAGTTTTGCTGCGTTCAACCGTATTCGCCAATTAGTAATTTCTAATGATGTAAACACACAACAACGTTGATTCAAAGTAACACGCCCTCGCCGCGTTCTGTTTCAAATTCTGTTTTGAAAACAAGTTGTCTAAATTATTTCCATTTTGGAGATATCTGCTTCTAGGCTCTAAGCTCCTTGGACACTTGGTCATTCGTCATAATCGTCATTCGTCATTCGTTTTCTCCTAAGATCAAGTAGTTCAAGTAGTCGTACCAAATAAGAAACAAGATAAAATCTCGCTTGGAAACTGAACAACGCACCCGCCCGAATGCCGTAAAACGTCATTCGCGCGCGCACAAAGAGAAACACCCTACTTCCGAAGGACGAAGACCCTTTTCGTTTATCCGGTCGATCGGCCGATTGGAACAAGACGGAAGAGTCTCGATTCGACGCGATCACGAGCACGAGCACGACGCGGCACTCTTTTCGCCAATCGTCGGTCAAACAAACTGCGCCCGGCGCCAGCGGACACGATCGACCACTTTTTTTCACCGCCGAAGATCGGCCAAGATTATTTTTCCGCGACGGGCCCTGAGTCAGACTGTTCTCTCATGCTCTCTCTCGCGTGTCCCGCGTCCCGCGTCCCGTATCTCGCGGGAGGGCGTTTGCACACGGCACCACACGACGCCGGACTCTAATCTCTATTAATAAATGCTCGCACCGCCTCTCGTATATACGGGGGCAGAACAGGCAGAAGCAGAGTGAATGAGAGAGAGAGAGAGAGAAACAGACGAGATGCAGAGAGAACGGACTACGGAGCAGAGCCCCTGCTCCGAGTTCCGAGTCCGAGGGCTCGCGAAAATTGCGACGTGCGAGGGCTCGGCTTCGTGCAAGCGCGGATGATCTGTAAGTTCGTTCGTGGCGTGCCGTGACTCGCGGCAAACGCTTCAGCGACAGCATCTGCTCTCGAAAAATACCGATCGATGCTCCGACCTCCGACCTCCGACCTCCGACCCGTTCGCCGCGACGACGAGCGAACACGTATATGCAAAATCGAAAACTTCGGAGCGGAGACAAGCTTAGCCGACAATAAGGTTTTTATCGGCCTTAATCGCGAGGAGAGAAAAAAGGGACTTTAGACTATTATTCATGAAAAATCATTGGAAAAAGTTGGCGGAAACTACTGGCGAGTTTTAATCTTGAATTAAAAAACTAGCATGTTCTCGATCTCGTAGGAATGACTGCTGCACGGCCTGCACGCGACATCGCGTTTAACATGTACTTACTCCGGATCTGCGGGGAGGAACGACGCAACGGAACGACACGCAATGAGACGCAATGACGCGATTCAAAAGCCTCGTTCGACCTCGGTATCGAGGAAGCGATTTAAATTTTGGTCTCAAGTGAGTCAGCTCTGAGCTCTTGTTGAAATCCACGTTTTCCTGCAAGATGCGGCGTCGACGTGGCGTAATAAACGTAAGGCGTAAGGCGTAGGAAGACCTCCTCTTACATGGATTACGTAAAAATTTGAAATAAAATTTGCGAGACACCAGCTCCAAAAAATCTCCAGCATTTGTATCTTTAGCAAATTTTAAATTGTTTTGTTTTCATATCGCAAAAATGCGCACGTCATCGATTCGAGAATCGCCACGTAAATGGTCAATTTACATATGTCAACACACGTAAACAACGTAATGCCGATGATACTTGCAGATTAAGTTTCGCGCATCCGCAGCTTCCTTTTTTATCGTGACGCCGCCGCACGCGTCACGCGTCACGCGTAAACACGCAAATCTGTTGACGTCTGCTGATAAATAAGAGGGTCCGACTTACCAATTCACGTTCCGTCGCCACACGGCCACAGACAGTCAGACAATGTCCGCGTTAAAACTTGACCTGAAAATATATGTCATTTGTTTATCTCACGTTCGCCACAAGATCATCAGCTAAGATACGTTTGTCCTCGGTCTTCGCGCTTTAAATTATTCAATGAAATCATTATATAAGTAATAGAGAGAAATATCAAGTAGCGAATAATGCGATGTGGAAAAAAGTGCAAACCTGCAATGTTTGCCGAATTGACAGAATCCAAGCCGTGGGTTCTCGGATATACGACGGTCGTTTTTGCTTTCAGACGACTTGGCTCAACGACTCAACGGTACGCGGCCTGCAAGGTACTTTACGTCACAAGCTTCCATAATTCCATCCGGTACGTTAGCCGCGTGAATGACGTTAATGATGACGCTGCAAGTAAAGACAATGGGACGTAGGGATTGAAGGTGCTAAGCTAACAATATGTATAAGATGTATGTACGTCTCTCGTCTCTCGTCTCTCCTTCCCTACTTGCATGCGGCCCGCGCACCGATCACCGGCCACGTGAAAATTCTAGTCAAGTTGTCAATGACGTTGTTACGACGTAATATCGCAACTTGCTCCTATCTATCGTATTAATAACTATATTATGCTATTAATACGATGAACGTATACTTCTTTCTACACGACAGAAATTTACAAAGAGGCACGGAGACGTAACGCTTAACGGTGCAGTCGTCCACGATCGACAACGTTTCGCTAGGGGCGCCGATCAAATTTAGTCGACTCTTTTCGAAATCCAGAGAACGCGATATATGTATAAATTGAATGTTTTCTACTGTAAACTAATTTAATTGTTAAAATTTCAGGTATGGCTTTAGTCGTCGTTGCGTCGAAGCCTTCAGCTGCGGATGGTCAATAGCTGCCGCTGCCACTGCGCGGTGTGAGAGGCGATTTTCATCTCGATTTTGGCATTTATAAATCGGAACTCCCGCTCTGTAGGACCGATTCCGATATTTTTAGATGCTGCGATCGCGATCGGCCTAGACGTTGCATGCAGATTTCGGCTTCGGAATGCTCGGGACTAATTATAGCTTATTAGCATAATAATGGACATTCGTCTCTCCTCGATCGTGACAGGATAAGAGGAAATCCGGCGAAAGGGAGGTAAATTCGAACCGCGTAAGATTAAAATCTTCGAAAGAGCAAGAATTATTGTGTCCTTTTAAACTGATATATATATATATATTTTTTTTTTTTTTTCAGAGAAACTGAAATTTTAGAGAATGCATTTTTTATGAGATGAGGGATCGAGATATCTGATGAAACTTAAGAGAACTTGTACTTGTATTTGTTTTTGTTTTTGTTCGAATCAGAAATGCAGGAAGGTATAAAATATAATGATTTTGCAGTCGTTAGAAATAGCAAGATTCAAGCGCATAACTTATAATTAGAAATAAAAATATTAGAAGGAATAAAATTACAATTTATACAGCAATTATTATTAATGCGATCGCGTTATATAACATATAAAATTAAAATCCGTGCGAGTGAATAATGGATCACGAGTTCTCGAATTTAGAATCGTTTGTAAAGAAATCGATACATATTATTTATAGTACAGCAAAACAGTCGAAGCAGTCGAAGCTCAACTCAGCTCAACTACTAACGGGAACACGGGAACTGATTGTGAATCCGTGCTGATATTTCTGTATGTGTGAAGGTGTGAACACTGTGAATGATGTATCGCAAAAAGTTTTCGATGCACATTTGCTCGATGCGTCGCAGTTTCTCCGAGGTACAATCACGCGGGGGGGAAGCTCCTCCACCGCGCCGCACGGCACCGGTTGAAAGAGTATCTCCTCATCGATTTTACAGAGGACTTTCGAGGTCAATGACGTACATCTCGATGATTCTCATGATAGCCAGAGAGGGAGAGAAAGATATGCGAAAACTCGAATCTCGCGGCGATCTCGGGCGAAAAAGACGCGAGAAAGAACGCAGTAACGCCCAGCGGCCCAAGTACGCTCGCGTCGCGTCGCCGCGCGGCCAAAACCAGTCGATATCAGAAGCGACTAGCATAGGGCATAGGTACTCACGACTCACGTTCATGACGATGATGAGGGAAGCAGCTGATGGCCGTGCCGCTCGCACAACCGAAGCGTACATTAGGACATCGCGGCGAGGGTCCTCGTTGGCCCTTTCGTTAAATCACGAATTTGCGACCAACGACAACGTCGCGCGTTATTTGCCGATTATCGAATCTCAAGGCGAGACACACACTTTCGTAAATGTATATTCTGAGTCACTGGAAACTGGAATCGAAGTCAGAACCCCTCCCTGGTCGCGACAACCCTCGTGCAACTGCAAACGCGCATGCCTCTGCGAAAAGGGGATGATCCCTCTTTCCACCCTCGTTCCACCTTCCATCTCGAAGTGGTCGAGGTAGTCCAAGTTCTCCTCCTGTCTCCTCCTTCACCTCGTGCACCTACAAAAGTACGAACGTCAATTAAGACAATTGTCCATCCAGAATTAATAAGCCGGATTTTCTTCCACTCATATATATCCGAGTCCGGGAATAATAGCGATATAATTGCGAATACTCAATTATATTCCTCTCGCCGCGGATATCGCGCATCATTCGCATCATCGAAAGAACGTAACGACAAAGATATCGACGTCGCGAATCAAAACGTCATGGAATAAATATTAAGTTTAAGCTTGGCGTAAAATAACTTGTTATTTATCGAGATCTTTTCTCCTTGATTTAACACACACATCATTATTATTATTAATAAATTATTTACTATCGACCAGATCAGATGCACCGAAAACATTTTATCCCAATCAACAAAAAACACTCTGTAGTCTGAAATATTCGCGAATTCGCGATAATATTAAAATATTGAGAGGGTTGACTTAACTGAATAGTTTGTTCCACTTTTGATTCAGCAGAATCATCAGATCAATCATATTAGTGTTGTTAAACCGTTATTGATTTCTGATAAATATATAATTGTATGTGTATATATATATATATATATATATATATATATACACATATATTAAAAGTTGAGAGAATATTCATTTAACTTAGACACGAAATAAAGGTAAAATTATCATTTTATTTTTATGATGAAATGTTTATTTAATTAATGGATACAGTATGTTTCACGCTGTATATACCTTTACTGTTCTCTTACAGTTCCTATAGTCTGTATATACACTTTTAAGAAATTATAGGCAAAACCGCGCGATTTCTTTGGCACAATCGCATTGATTATCGATTTTTTAACTATGGAATATTTTATGGTTCTATTGAACAGATGTGTCAAGACAGATATATGAGATATTTTTATAAAAAAATATAAATTTTTCACAATGATATGTAAACGCCGCACAAGCACAATACTTGACGATACTACAATATTTGTAGAAAAATAATCTACTTATGCTAAGTACGCTGAAATATTAAACCTTGCATAATGATTATCATTATGTATAAGCTCTATAACCTCTTAATTACCTATATTCTCTTTTCTTAAATGTCATTTGTAACTATCGATTATGTACAACACTTATATATAACTTTCTTAATTGTGCTATCATCGTGCTATCATCATATGACGGGAGCGATAAACCAGTCATTGAGGTATAGATTTGGCATTACAAATCAGAAAACTTATACATATACATATGTGTATGTATACAATATACAATATAACCATATTTTTTATATATACATGAATATTATTATACGATAGGTATATAAAAAATTGCAATCGCATTTTATTCGTTTAGGATCCTTTGTGCCCAATACTACTCGTATAAATTGTTGTAATTACCTAGAATGATAGGATAATATATGAATCGATCGAGAGATAAGTCTATTATCAAAAAACTTGTAATATCAAAGGAGCAGCTAAAAGCTCATTCCTAGGTAAGATTTGGAGGTAGAAATACAAGGCAAATGTGATTGAGCTACGTGATCGTTAGTGATGTCCGAAAAAAGTGGACGTAGCCTACAAGGAACATTACTAAGGAATGCACGATGTCGAATACTCCAAAGAGCGATTAGAAAATGACTCCCTTAAATGAGAGGTATTGTTGCGATAATAAGTTACATGATTAAATTCTCTTAACGCCTAAATGCGAGAAATAAATATATTTAGTAACAAAAATTTATACTATTAAACGTACCGTCTATTTTTTGGCGTTTTACGACATCTTCGTCTTCCGAAAATCGCAATGATACAAATGACTACTATCGCGATAAGAATTGCGCTTAGAGCCCATACCGCTTTACTAGTACTAATCTTTGGTGTGTTATTCTCTGTACCGTTCAAAACATCGGGCATCGACGATGATGATTTGTTGAAAGAAACTTGTGTTGTTGGTGAGTTCAACCCAGGATTGTTTTTATCTTCTTTTATATATATGGACGATTTCGATTCTAAAGATTTTTCTACCTTTGATTGCATGTTTTTCGCGTTACTTATTATCTTGTACGACGTCGCTTTTGTTGTAATAGCTGTCGGAGGCGTTGTAGTAGGAGTATTGATCTCTCGCAAAATATGTTTCTCCAATTCTTCAAGTTCTTTATCCGCCGTCGCTCCAGACTTATACTCGAAATCGTCTTCGTTTTCTTCGATGAATTCTTCCAACGGTGTAAAATACAGAACAAGCGCATCCGCCGATATATCGTCTATATCAACGAAGTTATTCAGGACATCTTGCCACTCGCGTGCTCCACTATGTTGAATCATTTTTCTATACATAGTCATAGAACAATTAATTAAGGTTTATCAAGAGCACGTTCTTCACAGAAATGCATGCACAGAACGTGTATGCATATATGTATTATTATCTTTATGTTATACCAACTTACATTATATTGCCGTTTATTAACTTTCCGTCAATATCATTGTATCTGACTTCGGTTGAATCCATATTATATTCATATAATTGAAAAGATAGCATTGTGCCAAGAATTTTGCTGCATTGATAGAACATTTTTAATTATCGCTGATAGATAAGATAGTTGTATATTTCAATACATTAGTATACTTACGGAAGATATGGTTTATTTCTAACAATATAACTATCGTCCATGAAAGTAGGATTATCCATATTAAGAGAGGAGATACCTTCGTACTCTTGCCTTGGATTATATAATACATAATTAAAACTTTAAGTATTATAGTTATATAAACTATATGAATTTCTAATAATCTCTAAGTATTATGATACCTGTACTTCCACCATGATGCTATCAAATCTGCCGGATCTGTAATATTCTCTTCAATCGCATTTAATCTCCATAAATCGGCGGAGTAATAATATGCTAATCGTGGGAGTACATTCAGAGCGGTTATCATTAAAGACACGATCATTCGTTGCTCATTATCCTTACTACCGTTCATTAAATGAGTATGATTGAGCCACGCAGGACTTGCCGATAGTATCCCAAATAGTGTCGATATACCTTCTTCTAATCCTGTAAGACCAAATATTTTTTATGTGGCGAGTTCTTTCAACATTTTACGGACAATTGACGCGTATCTTTAATAAATCCAATACTTGCTTACCTGAGTACCTGTTAACTGTATCGAGAACAGGAGTGTTTTCTACAGTCATTTGATTAAATAATACTTTCCCAACGTTTTCATGCGCTGTCAAGAAATTGCTCATTGTGGCTTTGGAACAAGTAGAAACTCTAAAATAATATTTCTCAATTTAGCAAAGCGCTATTAAAAAAATATAAATAACTAGGCAGACGATAAATGTCCGAAATTGTAGATTTCGATATACATGCCTCATTGTACCCTCACGACAAAAGTTCAACAATCTGGACGGGCATTGTTGGTTAAATTCGCTCTTATCCCAAAATCCCGCTTGTGGAACTTGTTTCAACAATATTGAACCCAAATTGGATGCAGTCTTGTACAAAGATTTTCCCACGTATTTCTATATAATATAATAGAAAATTTCAGGTGTTATTACAAAAGAGTGATTGTAATCTAGTGATTGTAAGTTTTAGCATAAGCACGAAACAGCAATCTCTACCTTTTTCCAGAGATTTCTTTTGAGATCATAAATTAATTCTGAGTAGGGTAATGCGTCTGATGATATATCCGTCCAGTCGTGTCCTTGTAAGCTACCTTTCGAATGAAACAATACAAATTCAAGTTGCAGAGTGCAAGTAAAATATAAAAATAATAGTTTTTAAAAAATTATCAATTATTCGCTCTTATATCAAAATTGCGTACACAATTTTTTACGCGATCTTTTACATAAAAACACAAAAACTTAACAGCGATTTAATCTCCAAATTTATGGAAGATCTGTTTTTATATTTATCCTATGACAACTATGACAAATCTTTCAGTACTAAAGACTACTTTAAAAGATAAGATTTCAAATTTTATATTACTACGCTCAAATGGAACATGTTAACAGCAAATTCAATTCATTGTTCTATATTGTTGCTATCTTACCGAGTAAATAAGCTGGAAGTGTATCATTTATAGTAATATCATACTTTCGAGCCAAGTTTGTACTGATAAATTTTACAATCTTTTTATGAAGATTATTGATCCGACTCCATTCACTGTGTATTTTATCATATCCATCCGAATATCCTGACAGCATTTCCCAATATTCCTTAACATTTTCCATTCCTATAATTGAATATTTGAATGTTAATTCAAAATTTAAAATGTACACCCTTATTATCTACGTAATATGTTTTCATTTATATTGACCATTTTGTTTCGCGGCTTCATCGAGGAGTGGCAAATTGTTTGAATAATTTGTCACTAACGGTACAAATTGGCGATACCAAGCGTTCCAAGCAGCTTGCTTATCTTCTAGTTTTCCACTATGAGAGAGTAAATATTCCACACCTAAAATCATATGATTACGAGCCAATAGTTGTATCATGTAGTTTATAAAATGTACTGAATCTTTATCGCAATGTAATTAACAAAAATATACCTTCCCGTGAATAGTTTTGCGACTTATTCACGTGACTAATAATTGATCGTTGCAATTCCACGACGCCAGCGAAATGTATAAGCTGTATGTAAGATATAATTGCAATATAATTTAAAGTCTCAGACTATTAATTGGAATCCAAAAAAGCTTCTTACCTTCTTCCAATCTTCATCTTTTAGCAACGTGTCGCCAGGTTTCTCAATCACGTCATATTTATATTGAAGAGATGGTTTCAGCTGTTCTTTTGTATTCTTAATTTTATTGATTACCTCGCTTTTCTGCGCTTTTGTAAATTCCGTATAATTATATTGCTGTATTTCCTAGAATATAGCGAAACACATATCTCCGTTTCATCTCATAGGATAGCAAGTCTTTATTGTGTGTATTAAGCAACAATTTAAATAATTTACCCATGTCGATAATGTTTTATCGGAAGGTGACACGATAAATGACCACTGAACATTGGCAATGTTGTAACATACATCTTCATAATCCAACTCGATTAGTTCGAAGAAAGCTTTAGCTTCGTCCTCCTGGAGAGTTTCTTTGCGTGGGGCAGTGGTTACATAGACAATAAGATTAAAAGCGATCCAACTCCATTTCGATAACATCTCTTTAGTCTGCAAATAAAATATGTTTGCGTTTTTATTTAACATTTCAAATTCTGAATTGAGCACAGTACAAGTTGTAGCAGGAACGCAGGAATGCAAGAATGTAGCATCGACTTGTTGAATAAAAGTATTATTATCAAGAATATATTTGACATAATAAATAGCGTATATGTAAAAATCGTGTCTCTATCCGTCAAAAAAATTTATTTTCAAGAACGTTACTTCTTTCTAAATTAAATACAGGAAAAACGCTACGTTATCGTGCTTGGGTATATATTGAGATGTATCCTATCATCGGACTCGCTTTAGTGATCATGGAGAATGAGATGTATTAGCGATTTAGGCCCATATTCCGAACACATTTTTATCGATAAATGCGCGCATCTAGCGCATATAGTTTACGTCACATATACTGTAGAATTTCAGAAATTATAGAATTTTAGAAATCAATGCGCGTATTTATCGATAAAAGAGCGTTCAGAATACGGGCCTTAGAGAACTTGGAAGCATTTATAGCCAGGTGTGCTGTAATATCGCGGCAAGCGAGTTAGTCATCTGCCCTGCTATTGGTCACGATGACTCGTTCGATGCGCGTAAATTCTAATTCTACGAAAAGTAAAACGTTAAAGAGATCTATGATGAATGTTTTCAAAACTTTTTTTTAGATAAAAGCAATCATTAAACGAAAGAAATATATTCAAAAGGGATTTAAATAAATTACATAATTGTGTTTTGCAAAGTTGATGGTTGCGAAACTCTAATAGATTTATATGAAATGTCATATTAAAATAAATGTCATTGAATTACATTAAACGGTATTACAAAAGAAACTTTGATGAGAGATAAATTAGCTATGAGTCAGATGATACTCGATAATCCGTTAGTTTGTAATAAAGATAAGCTGGTCTTTGCAAAAAAGGGGAAAGGGAGGAAGAGAGGAAGGGAGGGGGAGAGAGATAATAGATTACACAGGATATTATTATTATTACTTCTATGTTAAAATGACAGATTTATTTAGAATTATTATGTAACAACGAGTTGCTTGTGGAGCGTTGCTAATGTGTGGATGTAACAGTTATTTCGTAATATATACGTAAATTGTTGCGGTCACGCGGAATGAATGCTGATTCTTGACATCAAGCTTGCGGTAAACGAAACAATTTAGTTGCACGTATCTGTTGCGAAATCTTGAGAAGCGTATTGGGAAAAGTCGATGCAAGAACGTGTTCATACATGCTTTGACACAAGTAGAAACTCTAAAACTGTAACATTTCAATTTAGTAGTGCTGTTAAATTGTAAGAAATGTAACAGCATTAAGTAAACAAGGCAACTTTGTAAATATTTTGAAAGCTAACGGAAATAATAAATAGAGAGAAAGAGAATTCAGATACTACGCGATTTAGATATTCTCTTGGTCGAGTCAATCTCCAGTCGGAAGCAAGGAGCTTACATAGTGGAATAGTGGAAAGTTGTGGTCGAGCCAACGAGACAACGGACAACGTCCTGAATGTGATTTAAAGAGAGAGAGTGAGTGAAATTTATCGTATATCACGCGCATGTTTGATTCGTCGTATTACCCCGATCGTGAGATATATTTTTGTCTTGGCCACGCTCTCTCGCGAGGGTAACGCCGAACGCCGAACGCGACACGCGACGCGGTCCAAGAATCGTCCGTATACTCCGTTCCGTACTCTCCGTAGTTGACCGCGAGAAACCACGCGCGATCGATCGCGACGATGATTTTTCCGTCCAGATACTTGGGACATGAACATTTCCCGTCTGTATGACATGAACGTGATCGCGAACGTTGAAGAGAAACGAAAAGAAACCGGTTCCTGCACGCATGCACGCACGCACGCGCGCGCAGAAGGCCAACGGAAAATACGAAAAGATATTGTAAAGTCGTCTGGAAGAATATTCAATTTTCTCAGACGGAAAAACTTTTCAGACGACCTTTTAGCACGAGTTCTTTTCCTGAATAATTCAAAAGACTTCTCTCTTTAAACTTCTCTCTCTTTTACATTTATAAATGCAAATATCTGGGAAAAAAAATTATAAACTGTAAATGAGGAAATAAAATAAGCGACCTTCAACCTCCAAGTAGCTTCCGCGTGCACGTTTCACGTTTGTCCTCTTCCTGTTTTGTTGGCGAACTCAAATTTCCATTTATAAATTACGTTAGTTGTAGCGGGATGCCAAAATAACTTTCATGTTTATAATCACAATCAGCAGCTCTCGTCGCGCATTAGGACAAATCACGTTCCGAAGTATGTCTTGGAAATATTTCACAACGTAGGTCCTTAATGTAAACACTTTTTACAAGGACAGGTGTCGAAAATAAAAACAATGTGTAAACACACGCAACAAATGATTAGTGATTATTTACCTCTCGTAGGATGGTGCGACAATTAAATTGCAATGAATGCAAATACACGTCAACAGCTACCTGATTGAATATTCACGCGTTGATCAAATATACTTGAAAAAAAAAGAAGGTATTTCCACACGAAGAGGAAAGCAAACTGAGATACTTAATCAGATGTTTTCGTTTCGCAATAGTCCTTGTATTTCTTTGTGCTTCGCGTTGAAATGAAAGAGTTCGCGAAGATTCAGATTTCGAGGCAAGAATGAGAAAAGGTGGGAAGAAAAATATAGAAAATGCTAATATAGACCGAGAGTATTTACCTTTTATAGTCGAGCGTCGTCGCGCTCGACTCCCGCGTTTTAGTTCGTTCGTTCGCTCCGAACGACAAACAGAAACGGGCTGCGGCAGAATGTGGGCAACGAGTCGTCGGTCAAGAGAATGAAGAATGAACCGAGCGATCGTCAGTCCGACAAGCGAGGACGCGCGGGACCGCGGGATTGTCTCACGCTGGTCAAAGTACGTCGAGCGATTAGTAGGCTCAAGGAGGAGGGTCCACTGATCGACGGACTCGTGGCTCGTGGCGTTCAATAGGCCGGCGCGGCGGTGTGTGACCGTGGGTGCCGCGTTATCGAAACGTCCGTGCTCTGATGCTCACTGGCTCACTGCTCACTTGCTCAGACGCTGACCGGTGACACTGTTGACTGCTGGCAGTCGCGCGACGCACCTCTGTCGTGTGACTGACTGACTGACTGACTGCCAAGTCCAAGAGTCCGAGTAGTCCGACCGCGATCGATCGGAATTCCTTCGCATCACGCCACTATGTCCAACGTCAGTGCATGACGAGGCGTATCTCGGACTCGGGCCGCCCCGGTACTCGGTAACCTCAGCTTGCCTACTTGCCCTGCCTATCCGTCTACCTGCGTTCTGCGTTGCTCCTAGTGGTCACTGTCGTCAGTCGATCACCTGCTGCGAGCTGCGAGCTGCGAGCTGCGACGCGCACATCGCACTGACGCACTCTCGTCCGCGCGCGCCCCGCGGTCCGGCTCGTCACTCGCTGCGATCCGTAATGAGTAATAAACTCGTAACTGATCGTAAACAACGTAACCGGGGTCCGGGGCGAAGCTCGATACGCCGCGCCGCCTCACGCAGCCCCACGTTTGCCGCATCCACCGTTCTTGGTCGCGCCACTCGAATAGATTTATTTTGGACTGACGATACTGACGATACACGCTTTCTGACCTAATAGCGGATATAGCAATATTAGCAATGCTGTTCGACTTGAGATCCTTGAGTAGGAGATAAAGAGACTACCGTGCGTCGACATTATCGCGCGCACGCGGCACAACTCCAACTCGACTGCATCTACCTCTGGTATTCTGGACATTTTCCGATCATGATCACGCCTAGCTGCAATGATGGTCTTTCATCGAGGCTCTCGAAGTTACCTCGAGTCGGTACGGTAGTCGGTAGTTACGTTTCGATATGACAACGAAAAGTCGCGTCGCCTAATTGTTTACAATTGCTCAGCGACAATCTTTTCTAATTAGTACGTATGTACATTCTGAATACATACGAATGCATAGGCAAGTACGTACCTGCGCAAAAAATGTATCTCATTAAGGAACTTGTGATTCAAATGATGCAAATCTCGACAGAATACAGAATTTCGAATTTCACGTCTTGACGTCTTGACTCTCGCGCGACTCGCCGCGGCCGAGCCGCTGCCAAAGCGGGAGCGGGGAGCGGGGACATCAAGTCGAGACACTCGGACTGATTTATGGCTATACTTACAATTACACGTACTCACGTAGTAAGAATCAGCGAAAGCATTGGTCACCATTGGTCTTTCTCTTTGAGAGGAAATGTCATGTGGTGGTGTCGTCAGTCGTCAGTCGTCAGTCGTCAATCGTGTGCCTGTACTGCCTGTTTCACGTGATAAAGAGAAGTAGTTCTGGGTGGTTCGGCCTTGGCCTCGGCTCGGCGTCGGCGTCGGCGTCGACGTCGGCGATTCCAGATAACCCAGATTCCAGAAGGGCGGTGATATCACTGATATCTACCTACAGTATCCGTGCGACTCATGGACATGCTACTCAACCGATAGAAATTTTAGGCCAACGTATTTATATCGCAAAAAACAGCTGTAAACAAATTTAATTTATTGCTTGTACATATACATATATACATACGCGTCACGTGTTTTTTGCCGCGCTATCGACATATACAAAGAGCAAACCGACGAGTGAACCGGTCTCTCTGTTTTCGGTTTTCGGTGAAATCATGGTTTTTTTCGTTGTTCAACCACCTAGACACAGTAGACACAGACATGGCTGACGTGGGTGGCTCTGCGAATGTGCTCTTTTGTGACTTAAACGCGGACGATATATAACATTCCGGAGACGAAAGATCGTAGATCGTAGCTGCGTGCCTCTGCGTAGCATTCATCCGATAAACTCTAACCTCTTTTTGAATCGTTGAACATAAATCCATTTGTTTCATCGTTAATATCGTCATCCGTCATCCTGCAATTCCGCTCGCCGCCGGTTGGTTCACTCGAAGATTATAGGATTATTCGACGTTCGATGACGATATTGACGATATACTCTTGGTAAGTTTGGAAATAATAAAAGGCCGCAACTTTGTCGAATATTCGTTTCCACGTCACGTGGAATTAAATTTAATATTAACGTGGATTTATTCCGCATTTTAGGAACGTAAAATCGGTCATTGGGGATCATCGTTCGACTCTATAAATATTAAGACATTACATTAGTAAACGATAATGATAAATCGAGTTAGGTTGATTGCATTAGGGGATGATCTTTTAACGTTACCTAATAAATATTGTAATATAATATTACGTCGCGTAATATTTCTATTGTTATTACGTTACTATATGTGTATTAGAAATTAGATAGATTCGTCGCATATAACAGTCTGCGTCTGCAGTCTGCAGTCGGCACCGTCGCGTCGACGGCACTCCTCCATTATCCTTGGTCCCGGGACTGGAAACTGGAACTCCCGGCTCCCGGCTCCCGGTCGGTACGCCTTAGCCTAACCTAACCTAATCTCACTATTCTCATTCTCACTCCAAGCCAATCCCCAAGCGCTCGTGTATTGTAAACAAAGCAATAAGCGATGTTTATATTTAATATTGAATACTATAAATCAACCTATATCAAAAGTTTAAAAAGAATCAGTAGGGTTGGATATCAAGAGATTATCACCCCGCATCGAGGCTTTATCAAGGATTCGTTCGATACAACAGATTATGAAACCTTAAAATACCTGCTCTTTGGCAATTATATACCATTTTGGGTAGTTCTGGTCATAATTTCTATTTACGTATTATACTTGTCTTACGTGTCACGGCGCAGATAAACGTTTATCAATTAAACGTAGTGAGGGGAAAGCGAACAGTTTGCGTTTTGAAAAGAACTTATTTTTATCGATTAGCCATTTGACGTACGTTGCGTCAAGTTACATCTCTCTCACACACACACACACACACACACACACATTGTACATATATACTTAAGGCCATTAACATTATTTATGCAGATCATTCGGTGGAATGCTTGTGGCCATGAGAGAGCTATATTAACAATTCTTTAAAAAGAAAAAAAAAACAATTAAAAATTGACTACGTCCAATAAGAATGATATCCAATAAGAAGCTAATGAGAATGGTGGATTACTTAAAGGACCCCCAACTAGTCGCATCGATACAAGAATTTTTTGGTATCAAAATACATTACAATAGGCATAACGAAACATTCCAAGAGGAGGAGAATAGATACGCTTACGCGAAACGTGACGACAATGAAGCAACGTGTATTTCAACTTGCCATAGTAAAAAAATTAATGGCTGTGATGCAAACAGTAAACAACTGACGGCATCTGCAAAGCGAATGAATAACGCTCTGGAACAGGGAACAAATGATGAGCCAACGGTCCGACGCAAAGAAGCTTCGACAATTTCAGATAATTCAAATTATGCGATCACTAATCCATTTTGGTATTATACATTTGTGTTTGGAACCGAGTTAGGGGATGAGGTCTTCTATTCAACTTTTATACCTTTCCTGTTTTGGAATGTCGATGGAGCTGTTGGTCAAAGAGTAGTCTTAGTATGGGCCACTATTATGACCATTGGTACGATCACGTGATAATTAAAAATAATAAATGCACGCGCGTGTACGGACTTTAACGTAATTTATCTTTACACATCTTTTTAATTTGTATTACATGCATTTTCAGGACAGATACTGAAAGATGTAATATGTTGGCCTAGACCAGCGTGTCCTCCGGCGGTCAGATTGCAAAATAAATGGTCACAAGAATATGGAATGCCATCCACTCATGCCATGGTTGGTTTCACGATACCATTTAGCGTAGTGTTGTTTACAATGAATAAATATATTTATCCATTTTCTGTCGGCTGCATTATTGCATTTCTTTGGTAAGTAATATATTGTAAATACCATGTTTGCTTGTTGACTTTTTGTATTTACGTAAAATAATTCAACTTGACTCTTCTAGGTGCGTACTTGTCAGCATGAGCAGATTATACCTGGGTATGCATACCGTGCTGGATATTGTGGCCGGCTTAGTACTAACGATTGCATTAATGATTCCATTGGTACCCTTGGTGGACATAACAAATTCTTATGTTACTACAAATTTTTGGCTCGTAGCGATGCTGATCGCGATCAGTATTGCCGTTATCGTATATTATCCAACTAGCAGCTACAAGTGGACACCCACTAGGTAGATATAGATAACGTGTCAACTACATATTATTGAACGTATGTCGAGTGGACATGCACAGTTAAATTTGAAAGCTTATATTTTATAGATGATTTTTAATTTATTTCAGAAGTGACACTGCCATGGTTGTATCAGTCGTAGCAGGAATTCACGCGGGAGCATGGCTCAATTATTATACCGGTTTATTAAGGGCATCACAATCTTTGCCACCGTTTCATATCGTTTGGCCGACGTATTCTATGCTTGGTCATCTGATTGTTAGAACCGCACTTGGCTTTTCTGGCGTTATTGCTACAAAAGTCTTCTGCAAATCTTTTAGTTATATTATAATATGTGGCATATTACAAATTAATTGGAGGGAACTTATAAAATGTCAAGATTATAATGGTAATCAAAATAAGGTGTTCGTCGATCTAGTCTACAAATATGTAAGTTGTTTCATGATAGGTATAAATACAGTGTATCTATTGCCACAAGTTTTTAGCATGATAGGTATCGAACGATCAGCATTTTACACGGAAATATGAAAAACTTAACATACAATCTGTTGTTCGATTTATATTGTGCTCTGTGAAATATATTTTATACCTCGTTTGTTTATTAAGTTTTTATAACTTACAATTAGCAAGGGATAATTTTTTACTTTTTCAGACATTTTTTATCCTGATATAAAAAATATTTTTTGTCTTAAAAATTTGTTTTATTAACAAATGCACATTAAAAGCTTTAAGTATAATGAATTCATGTTTCAGTCACTTTAATAACGTGATTTAAATGCGCAAACTAAAAACGAAATTAACAAAAATTTATTTTAAAGTGGGAGATAAAAGAAGTAAAATTATTTGTTAATATTAATTTTATTTTTGTTCTATTAACATATCTATTCGTAACACCTGGAAAATGAGAAAATATATACGTTACAGATATATAATCTAATATAAGAAAAAAAAAGAGAATAAAATATAAATTCTCACCCCAATATTGTAATCTAGATAAGCTTTCGCGTTATCTGGTTTGAGCGTGTACGTATATGGAATTAAGACGTCGTACGAACAACAAGCTTTCTCATCCGTGACATTTATGCGATCAGAGTTGATCAATACTACTATATCCTCGACTGAAATCTGCAAGTGATAATGCATGTTACATTTATCTTATCTGACTGAATGTTGTTAGTGTTTAACAACTCTAGAATAACTCCATTTAATAACTTTGTGACTAACGCTTTTTGACATGTCAAATAAAGCGATTAAACGCTCAGTTGGGCCTTTTGCTGGTTTTCTTAAAATTACATAACCCATTTTTGCTGTGTCGCTATCTCGTAGATTAGCGTTCTTGCTGTCGACAGGTTTCGTAGAACGCGAAATTTCCTCGATCAATGACTTATGACTCTGTGGCTTTTTGGGTTTACGATTTTCTACTCTATGTTGTTGAAGTTTTCCCATTACCTAGAATAATACACAATTATGAATTCAACTACGAAATAGCATACAAGTGTGACTACATTGAGTAAACGTTGACAAGTTTTAACAGTTAAATCCTCATTATATCTCTTATATGCTTACCGTACGATTTTTAAGAATAACATAATTTTCTGTATCAATCTCTTTGTTAAATTTATCCGCCACTCCACTCAGTATAACTAATGTCGTAAACGCCATGAAATGTTTCTTTTCTTGACATTTTTTAAGATATGCTGTATTTAGCATGACATCGTATGTCGCACTGGGTGTTCCAGCTGTAAAGAAAAACATAATTTTATAATTGACACGTGCATATAGCATTGGTGTTCTAATATAAATAAAAAATTGAAAGGTTTTTATTTACATTTATCTGCTTCCATTCGTTCAAAACCAATACTCATTGGTATGGTATAAGCAGGTACTTGATCATTTAGAAGCTCGAGTAGTTTAGTATCAGATATATCTTCTGGTGGTGGAATTTTATCGGACGTGCATATGTTGACAAAAATTTTCTCTTTGTTAAGTGTTCTGGTTTTCACGCAGATGCCTGCAATTCATATATTATATTATTGTAAACAAGCTCTTATCTATGACAAGCAATGTGCAAAATGTGTTGTACAGATACAGACCAGGAATAGGCTGCACAAGAATAGATGGCGGCGAATCAAATTGTTTCATCATCTCGTCCATTTGCTGATTTAAAGTATCCCTATCTTTATCCTGCCAGAAACAGTCAACATTCCAAGTATTGCTCGTATACATAAAAAAAAATACATCTTTACTATATACTTACGAATAACAATAAATTTTTAGCCTTAATAGAGTCATCAACTTCGAGGAAAGTGGCATCACCCATAATTGCTACGAATCCAGTTAAATATAAATATATAAACTGTATTCAGATTCGTATTTCTCTGAGATGAGTGGTTTCGGTAATTCAAATAAAATCAGATAACCTCTTCGATACCTAATGAATATGTAAAGGAAATACCACGTGCGTCACCATACGTGTATAGATTGCTACTGACAGTACTGACCTCACCTTAAGCTGGATGCACAATACAAAGGTACAGGCAACAGGAACAGAGAATTGGTACGCGGCTTTCGATAGGTTAAAAATCTATTGCCTGTGTTTTTCATTGTGCATCCAGCTTTATGGCTCATGTATGTACTAAAAACATATGTTACCGACAGTAAATACAACCATTGATCTACCGCCAGTAGATCGTAAATTGATTTTATCGGTTATAGAAAAAGTTTCCAGCTCGAATCTTGATGACTATATATACCGGAAAGACTTTTTTAATCTCATATGAAATAAAGAATTTCGAAAATTGACAAAGTATCAGGAGAACATAATTAGCAAGAAGGTTGAAATTTGAAATATTAAAAATTCCAAGAATTTTGACATTCTTTATTAAGAATTGCGAATTGGAAAATTTAAAATCGCGGACTTACTCATAGTAAATTATATTAATTCTAAGGGGCTGCGCACAATAAAATGGAACAAGGGAACAGAGAATAGGAAACAGTTCAATATTAACACATGAAATTCAAAAGAAATCTGTTTCTGTGATGAAATTATATACATTTATTGTGCGCAGCCCCTAAAAGCACTTGACCGATTGCCAATCGTCAAATTTATAATAAAAACTGCAGCGCCATCCGTGGAATGTAAGGTGCATTCTTGGCGCTTGACGCTTGGCGCCCAAACGATCGAGTGCGATGTCACGTGGTCAGTACGCTCCACGCTCCTAACCTGAAAATGACTTCGTGGAGTAGAATACAGTCGGGCTTCGATGTCAATGATGAGACTATTAATTTTGGGACACGGATAATCGCGGAAAACAACGGTTCGCTGTACGAGGCATGCACCGTGGCGACGATTCAATCGTTTGAAAAGGTATTCCCTGTTCCTTATTCACGATCTATCGATCTGCCACTATGCCACATGCCGGTTCTAATTTGACATTTTCTGTTAATGTTTCTGAGAAAATGAGAAAATCAAGGGCATTTCGCTAAAAACGGATGACTAAAAAAAACACGTAGTTCCTGACGTAATTTTATTTGCAATAATTGCTTTTTTATAATGTTTAAATCCACGTGAAATGCGCACGCGTCGGTATTTTGTATTATTAAAGCACGTATTTTAAATTTGACATTGATTGACTTATTGTTAGATTCATTAGTCGTTATATAAATTACAAAGTGATTATAGTTATTACAAATTAAAATATAATGCATCATTGAAATTAACAACTGTATATTTTTTTCTTTAAGGTGGAGCAACAACCGAATGTTATAGCATCTATTCAACATTCCAAGATTTGTGTAGCAATTGACAAGTCTATTACAATCTTTAAAGATGAAACGTGCGATGAAATATTATGTAATATTAGCTTTCCCTCCATGATAGCCAGTTACTCCGTTTCCAAGGACGGTTTCTTTTTATTTGTGGTGCTCGCAACCAGGATTTTATACTGTTTACATTTATCGGATGGAAAAATAATTTTTACCAAGTAAATATTCGAAATTTTTTATATAAATAACTAAATATTATCTGAAAAATAATATCTTTGTCTATTTTAAATATACTAAAAATATAATTTTGATGTCTGCATAAATAATTTCTAATTACAGAACTATACCTGATAACGAGGGTAATGTGATAGAAATATTTTTGAAGGAGCAAAGTGAAGAAACATTCATAATTCTTGTCACAAATACTGGAGCTATTTACAGGTATATTTACTTATATCCTAACATATTCTACTACTTTTTATCATTGATTTTATAATGATTAATAAATGATTTTCTATAAATATTTCAGATTCTGCAAATTTTATCCTAAAGCTTTAGAAATTGCATTTACTAGTGATGATAAAGTTATGGTTGCAGAATATACTGCAGATATTCAATGTTCTCAGCTGTTTAAAGGATTTGCTCCTTTGAAGGTAATTTGAATTTTTTAAAAGAATTTATTAATACTTTTATGGATATATTGATTGCATTTTTAAGACAAAGTTATGTCAAAAATATTATGTTTTTTTTTTACTTTCCACATCAATTTATAAAGAGTGTGTTACAGTTTCTTAATGCTACAGTAGAAGCGCCATCAGAAGAACTATCGATAGCTATAGTTGGAACAAATTCGATATTTACTTGGCCTAATGAACAATACATTAATTTTCAAAGTGTATTTTCTTTTGGATATAAAAAGATAAAGTCGCTGCATGGCAACAGGTAAAGAAAAATTTTAAATTACGCTAGTATATAGGTAATTAATTTGTATTTTTCAGTTTCTATTTTAAGTTGTATAATATATAAAAAATATTTTGTTTTAGTAAAATGCTTTGTCTACGTACAGATCAGATATTAAATATGATATGTCTGAATACATTTCTTACATTGAAAATATACGATGGGCCAGTGTTTGATTTCAGTGTAATACATCATGATGATGCTGATCATTGTGAAATTTTATTTTTAACCCATTCTAAGGACAATTACGCTACGTATATTTTACGTGTTATTTCTTATCCAGGTAAATATGTTATTTTTATTTGTGAATATTTTGATTTTTGTGAATTAAACATGAGATACTTTGTATTTCTTCTTTTAGATTTTGAACAGAAATTAGAAATCAACGTATCTACCAATACTTATTTATTGGATGTTTTACACGCTTCTGACAATCTATTTTATATAGAGGGTATTATATCTACTGAGACTGGTATTATCGACACGTTTAGAATAAAAACGATATTGGAAAGTATTCCCGAAATACGTTTAGCGAGATTATTAAAGAAGAGACACTTTGATGCAGCTCAAGCTTTTGCAGAAAAATTAAATCTTTCAGTGGAACCCATTTATTGTTCTAAAGCAGCATTGCTCGTGGAACAGCTCAGTCCCTGGGCAAAAGCTGCTTCTAATTCAGTTAACGTAGATACACTGATAAATATTCTAGATAAAATACAAGATGTGCAATATGTGATTGAATGTTGTAGTAAAGCTCTCATTTCTGATTATATACAAATGAAACGGATATATTCATATGCTCGGCAAAGAATAACGCAAAATATTAAGGTATTTTATATTTTTTCCCTTTATCGGTATACATTCTGCAGTGTTTTTATATTTCATTTATATTCTTTGTAGATAAAAGATATAAATGATTCGTTGAATACCAGTTTATCGGTAATAAACGACGCTTTATATAGACTTGAGACTTTCCAAATGATCCAAGATACCGAGGTAGATACATTATTGAATGACGACGCAACTATGAAAGAATGGATACGATTTTCACAAGCAAATTTATTAGAAGAATGTACTACTCGTTTGAACATGGTATTATATGATTATTATATACATATATTGCGAGATGTAAAAAAGGGAGAAGTTACAAGAATTGTTATGTCAAAATATTGTACTTTACGATATTTAATATTTCTATAGGGTCAACTAAAATCTGCTACGTTAATTTGGACGAGACATCTTCCTGATCTTGTACAACATATATCTATGCAGACTGTACGAAACATTTTTACAATTTTACCTGAAGATGTGGATCCATCATATTTATGGCCGTGGCTTATTCATTTTATACCAACATTATTATCCTTATTACCTGATACAATAAATGAGATTATGTCTTGGAGTTTAAAAAAATTAAAATATCTTGAGATATCTCATCGTACAGTATGGCCAGAAATTGGCACAGAGTTTGCTAAAAAGTTTATAAAATTGCTTAAATTTGAAGATAATCAATCGGTGTATTTTCATCAAGAGTACAGATATCAGAATTCTCTACTGAAACAGTTTATGGTTCTGTTTCAAGCTTTATCCGACATTCAACAACTGAAGATTGTTTACAGGTCAGTAATATCGTAATTTTAAATTAGCTCATAAACTAACATTATTAATTTTTTAAAATTATCCAATAGATTGAGGGTACCTCTTGATATATACATTGACTCACCTGTAGAAGCAATTTACATGTTGTTGGATAAAATACATATTGACCAAATATCGAATTTTGCGAACACATTCCTAAAACAATACATATTTAACAATAATTTACAAAACGATACTGTTCTCTGTACATATATCCAGGTTCGTATAATATTCTCATTATCTGGTTTTACATACAAAGACATGTTGCTTATAATGTAAAAGTTTTTTCTGATAAATATTTTATATTTTTAGAAAATTATAAAAAATTCGTACAGTTGGTGGTTTAACGAAGAAGCCGCATGGGAGAAAAGAGTTACTATTTTAATAGGCCTTATACACAATATGGAGGTGAATATTAGAGACATATTATTTGCGACATTATAATTTATAAAATATCTTTTTATTTATTTAACGCAACGTTTTATGTTACATATTTATAAGAAACGACTGGAGCAAACTTTGATAGTTTTAAGAAAAGCACCGGTGCCCTGGAGTTCAACTATAGCTACTCTAGCAGAAACAGGCATTAATTACGACCACAGTTTATCTTTTAAAATTAAAATTGAGTGCGATTACGTTCCAATAAAGCTCATTTTAATGAAATATGGATATGCAACAATTGGTGTGAATAATGTCGGTATAAATTGTAGCATTATATCTTTTATGAGCATTATATCTCTATGTATGTTGTTACATTACAAAATTATTTATATTTTAGAAATTAATATCGCGTATAATAAAAGAAAATTGCGATTCTATGATTAACGATATAGATGTGCTAACTAGAAACGATCAGCAATTAAGACAAGATGCATTTTGTCGATGTTTAAACGTACGATTAAATGAAAAGTATGTCGTAAAAAATGTATTATTCTAGTTTGCATAAGGAAAAAAGTTGTACGAATATAAAGTACTTATTTATTTAATCTATTGCAAATATTGTTTTAGGAATTTCGAAAAAGCAATGGATATAATACATCATTTAGAAAATGATGTTGCTAGCGCTTTATATTGTTATGAAGGAATTATTAATTATATTGTCGCAGCTTTCTCTTTTCAGGTAAATTAAAAATTGACCTTTGATACAATCATTCATTGAAAATTATTTTTATCTATAAATTATAATATATATAAAGATATAATTATATTTAATATTTACTTTTAGAATGCAACGTCTTTGGTCTATCATATGGAAATATTGGGTTGCTTAGAGTTTAAAATATATAACTTATTAACACAGTCAAGTGTTTGTCCCTATCGTTGCAACAATATTATCAAAATGATAAAAGATTTAAGGTCATTGTATGCACTGAAGAAATATTATAAGATTAATATTTCTTTGAAAGATTATCACACGCAAAAGTTACTTGTGTTGCAAAACTATATCTCAAAATTTTCAAGTAAAAATTTTAATTTAATTTTTGTAACTAGATGCAATATACATATACTTGTTAAAAATACAATTTACATATGATCATTTAATAGATATGAAGGAGAACGATTGGACAATTACGCACAAGACAGTTATTAAAGTTGCTAAACTGCTAGGATTAGAAAAGTCATATGCAACTTTATCTATGTTAGAGCAGATGAAAAACTTAAACGAATTAGAACAACTTATTGAGTAAGTACTTTACGTATTTTAGTCTTACATTTTTTTCCATATGTATAACATTATTTATTTCTTCTGTGTTTTTACAGTGATGATAAAGATTTAAATATGGTGTCCGAAAAATTTAAAAATATACATAAGATGTGCCTATCAATACTACAACATGCTGCTGTAGACACAAACGTTGTAAAAGTTGTCAAAAACTTAAGTATTTCGATGTTAAATACTTGTCAAGACAGTACGTATCCAAATTGTATTAATGATTCAAATGGTAATAATTATGTCGCAAACTAATATTTCAGGTGATTTACAATCTGCATTAATGCTTTACACTTGTATCAGTGCATGCCCAAGTTTTTCTACCCAAGATTGTTTTGATGTAAAACAGAGACTTGTAACGCAATCTAATTGGAAATTGTATACAATTTATAAAGATCAAGCAATATCTTTGGATGAAAAATTGTTGTCTCTGTTTAAAGGCGCAATGTCTCTGCACTTATATCATTCAAATCAAATCGACAGTAATGAAATCATAAAGTACGATGTATGTATTGTAAGTTTTATACATATATATGCATATAATCTCATTTGTAAAAAATAGTTTGTGATATATCAGTATAGTTTGTTTATATGTAGGACCAAATGGATCAATGGCTAACTGGTTTCCTGGAAAATATGAGAAAGATGCAACCTCAACACAACGATTATTCTTTACTGCAAATTTTCAAAACGTTTTATTTCATGTATCTTAGCACGTCTGTAAGAAACGAAAAGATATTAACGGAAATGAAATTTATATTATCACAGCTTTTGATGAATTTATTGAGAAAGTTATGCACCGGACGATCATTCGATCTGCAATTAGGGCTATCGGTTCTCTTTATGTTATCAGAACAAGAGGCGTGCAGTTGGCTTTCCACAGTTTCTACATCGTAAGAAAATAAATCTATTTTTCGATAATTAATTTTCGATAATAATGTATAAAGATTTATATTTGTAGATTTCAGGCCGACCATATTCGGCATTGTACAATCTCAACTTTGGGATATGAATATTCGCGCTTGGGGCAAAATCGATCATTGATACAAACGTTTGAGAGTTACAAGCTATTGCATATTTGGGCACAACGACTGTCACGTTATTCAATAACTTTTAAAGGTACGCTCATGCATTATCATCGAGTCTATTTTTATATTAAACGCAAATCTTGTTATACATATGTGTTAATGTATATATTTTTAATACATTTACAGAAGTTTTAACAAATAGTGCTTCGAGCAAAAGAAAAATTTTACAGCAGATCATAAACAGTAATAAAGAGAACGTGATTCCTTTATTAAAAGATTATTGTTGTAGCTTTGGATTTAATTTCAATGATTGCCTTTTGAATTATTTACAAATATTACTAAAAACGTGGAATCCAACGATAACCGTTTCGAAAACAAGCGCAAATAAAGGTAAATGATATAAGGAAATAATATGTATTTTTGTGACAATTAATTTAATATTTGGATATTTACATATTTTTATACGTAGATCATTTTCGTATGATATTGATGAATACCAATTTAATAATTGAGTAATATATTATAGAGTTACTTATCTGTAAAGATGAAATCGATGAATTAAGAAAGAAATGTAATGCAGTTGTTGCACAAATGGAAGATAAATCCATGTTGAAGCGATGTATCTTTACGTTATGGGAACACGTAAGCTATATATAAAAATGTTGGATAGTATAGTTTCTTATAATGTGAATTTTACATTTAAATTTCCAGATCACATTTTACCACTATGAAGTGTTCATTATCCTAATGGATCTCATAGGAGACAAAAATATGGAAAAGAGAAATTATCTTTGCTTCTTGCAAAATTACACTCGGAGCGGGTAAATTATAATTTCGCATATATTAATTTTGAATTTAATAATCATACTATCAATCATGATAGGCTTCCTACACCAATGGAACACGATGAGTGGATACAGCTTAATCCTGGACATAGTACGTTGCCGCCGATAGCCCAATGGAGACTTCCATTCTTGCTTAAAGTCGATATTTGGAAAATCATTAGTAAATATATTTCAGAAATAAATTTATGGCCAGCACTTGGATGATTAGTTAACTTCATTTCACATTTTATTAATTCTCGTTACTAGCACCTGAGTTGAATTTAAGAACATACGGCAAGTGGCTTGACATCGCACCCGTACTTAATTTGGAGGCACATCTCATATGTACATTAGCTATTAAAGGTGAAGTGACACAAGTATGGGGAAATAATTCTACCGCATCGAAAGATACTGCATGGTCGCTTTATCCGAAAAATACCACGTTGCTCAAAGATATCAAGAAATGTATACAACGGATGACAGATTCAGATGGATTCTATTATGGTACTGCAGCATTGTACTATGTCGTAAATCATACACCTCCGGGTGCTGATCGCGTTGCTGCCGCGAAAGAATGTTACGAGTATGCTCAGCTGGCGGCACAGAATTCCACTAAATTCGAAGAAGGAATGTTAGAAGTACGGTAATCTCTGTGTAAAGTACGTGTCTGTGTTGTAAAAAATATATTGACTTCTATGGCGTTTACTTTCAGAAAATTAAATCCAAATATTTGAGATTTACGTCCGAGCATATTCTACGTACGTACGGATTGGAGAAAGATGAGTATCTTGCTCTAATCGAAAATCCGTGCAAGCTGGTGTATGAATTGTATAACGAAGAAAGCATACCATTACGATATCGAACTGCAACCAACTACAGACCCGATATTAACGCTGCTGTTAACGAGCTGGGTAAACTGTTCTCGTTGAATACGATAAAATTGCGTATGGATTTATTGGAAGAATGGCTACAATCTAATGCCAGGTATACCGAATTGTCTCAAAGCTTTACAGAGACGTTTCTAGCGACGAAAGAGTCTGATCAGAATACCAACTATGAAGATAATTTACTTAGGTAATATTGCTGGTACACCATTTTTTTTATATCGTCAATTTCTAAATCAACAATTGATTGTGAAATATACTTAATTGTAGGATATGTTATATGCTGGAATATGGAGATATGGATTTGTTTGCACAATTTCTTATAAACATAGGTTTCGGCAATCGTCATGGCGAGACTGAATATAGTTGTAACGTACGATATCGAGTATTTCGAATATTGCAGACTGTCGTTGATACTACAACGTTAGAGGAATTGACCAAGCAAGATATATGTACCTTTAGGTATAAATAATTATAATAAATTATTGTTTATTTTATCGCCAGAATATAAATTTATCTTGCATATTAAAACGTTGATCTCACTTCAATATTTCAGAAAGTATATGAAATCGTTACAGTACGCCGGCAAATTGGAATCTTTAGGATTATGTTACAGCGTTGATACGTTTGACACATGTTGTAAACGAGAGCTTGTGCAGATATTATGGAAAAGTCAGCGTCACTTGCCCTATGCTCTTTCTGTTATAGCGCAGATTTGTATTGAGTTTGAAATCAACGATGTTCTACTTTGGGACGATACTTTGAGTCAGATGACGAAATTGCGAATGGTTATCGATTTTATGTGAATCATCAGAGATATTCTCTTATACCTCAAAAACTTATTAAACGTGTATTTTTAGGTGAGCGACTTAAAGAAAGTTTTATTGCAATTACGAAATAAAAGTGTCATTGTGAATTGTAACGGTTACAAAACGGGATGGCAATTGATTATCTCTGAACCGTTCGGCGAGATGGACATAAATCCGAATCTGGAGAAAATTGATAATTGCATAGAGGCGATTTGTCTGCTATATTCGTGTCCTGTGGCACATGAATTAGACTTCACCGCTATCGTGAAAAATTGTTTCCAAAGTAAACAGGCACACTTGGCTGCTGCACTTCTACCATTTTTAAATGAATCTGAAAAAAAGTTTGTTTTAGAGGTAATTAAGAGATAATCAAGTATTTTAAATTTTTATATTATATGCAAGAGAAAAAGAAATAGAGAGAAGAGGTAATATTAATTTTTTTAGGCTATTAATAAAAAATCTCAAATCAAAGAACTCGTAGAGGATTTGAATCGTTTATCTTCTAAAGGAGTACTCACGGTTCCGCATGTAAGTTGCAATAAACTAGTATTTATATAAAACATATACTATCATAAAAATTAAATTAAATGAAAAAATATGTTATTTTGTTTTTATAACCACATTAATTAAAATTATTATTTTTCTGTTTAGAGTCTCGCCATGGTACAAAAATCTATACTGTAAAGGTCAAATCGAGGAAAAATCTTTTCTCTGTATCAGATCAGCTCGAAGATAAATTTTATTATATTTGATTGAGTTTTACTATTATTTGATTGAATTGTGACATTATATTATAATATATAAGAAATAAACTTCTTTTTTATACTATATCTCGCTTTGGACATGAAGCTACAGAGCAAAACTCAATTTACCTGATATTTCGTATCGTCGTCGTCACGTTCTGCGTTTGATCAATGAAACCCTGCGACCATCTTTACAGACCGCTTGTTGCGCGTTCATATTCACGGTCTTTTCATATTTATCTTGCAATCATGGTGAAATTGACAACAGATATCGTCGAAAGGAAATGTTCTCAAATATTAACTAGTAAATCACTCAGTAAAACGATAAAAAAAGATGAATTATGGAAGTTGACTCATTTACATATGAATGACATGTTTATCAGCAGTATTGTAAGTTATATATATCAATTTAATAAATAAATTATATGTAATTCATTTTTAATGTGTACAAAATTTCACATTTTACATAGGGTAACATCGCTATTTATAGAAGCTTAAAAGTCCTCTATCTTCAGAATAATAATATATCGAAAATAAAGAATCTACATTTTGCATGTAATTTGACACATCTGTATCTACAGCATAACGCTATAATGAAAATGGAAAATTTAGAATCTCTACAGAATCTCCAAAAGCTTTATCTAGGACACAATAATATTATTGTAGTTGAAGGATTGCAAAATACAAAGAAATTACAAGAGTTGCATGTCGAGAATCAAAAGATACCACTCGGCGAATCGTTATGCTTCGAGCCACGTAGCGCTTTTACTTTATCTGTAAGTGTCATATAATTTAAATCTCAAAGACTCTTTCATCATATACGGATTAATCGTTGAGATTTGTTTAAATTTTTTCTCTTAGATGTGTGTAAAAGTTCTTAATATTTCCGATAATAAAATGACATCCTTGAGAAATCTAATAGGATTTCAAGAATTACACACGTTAGATGCAAAAAATAATCTCGTCGATAATGTGGACGATGTAACTACGACAATAAGTACATTGCCTTCTTTAAAAGATTTATCTTTACAAGGAAATCCTGTTACATGGTCTTACAGATATAAGGAAAATCTGATTGCTAATAGCGTTTCGCTAGGTAAAGTAAAACATGTAAATCATTCTTTGCCACTTATTATTCATATTTATCACTCAATTATCAGTTTACTTTACGTACATATAGCTAATCTCGACGGAAAAATTGTAACCGACATTTGTCGAAACTTTATGAAAAAATTTAAAATGGAGAAACACAATCGACGTACAAAAAATGCAGCTAAAATCCCATTAGGAGATGATATAACAAGTATGCCAATAATGATTTTTCCGTTTAGATAAGAACGGCAATTACAGACAGAAAATTTATTGTAGGTTCTCTGAACTTGCCACCAGCCTTCAAAAGATCTATTTCAAGAGCAATTTTCCAGCATCCTGGACCACATTTGTCTATAACAATTACCCCTGGATCTCTTTCGGTAGGAAGTCAGCTGCAAGTGTTTCCTCCTTGGAAATTAGGTAAAAAAAAAGAGCAAAGAAGATTATTAATATCTCATTGATGTATTAGTAAAATATTTTTACGTGTAATATTAGCATCTGGCATCAGAAGTACTAAGGATAATCATATAACACCGAGGCCGTTTTGGGGTAACATAAATAAAAGCAAGGAGACTCGTTTATCGCGCTCTCACGTCAATAATAAAGCAATTGCATTACCGCTTATTTAATGTTTTTCATCAATCTTTAAACAATTATTATTATATATATATAATGTATTTAATCATCTTGCTCTAGACTCTGAATCATTATTACAGGACATAAGTTATGATTGTAAAGAACTAAAATTTTTATGTAGTTAGATATAATGTAAAATAAAATAACACATTATATGCAATAAAGACAAAGATTTGAATCACAATATTATTTTTATAGAACTTTCTATCAATAAGGCTACATTTCCATTACTTTCATATGTACTATTTAAGAATATTTTCATAAATAGAATTCAAAACACTGCAATGTACATATTAAATAAAATCATGATAGTTGCAGGTTGCAGGTAAATATCAAATAAATTCGCGTAAATTCGCAATGTTACGCGATACAAGAATTTCAAATGCAACAAACATATAATTAATCTTTATATAAGCTGGGTAATTATTACATATTTTAAATATGCAGTATATTTTCAATAAACTGAACAACAAAAGTGTTAAAGTATAAACTTACAAACTTACACAACTATATTTGTACGCTGCTTGAAGATCTGTACATTATTCGTAAAGCTTATTTCATATGATTATTTATTCATGTAAATGCAGTAAATCAATTTATAAAATTAATAAAGCAATATCTGTACTCTGAAAATCAGAGAAATCTGGGTTATTTTTCTATTTTAATGACTTCGAATTATATTGCTATTACATACATGTGTTCTCCAAGCAGACTTAACATAAAAGTATACTCTTAAAAAACAGGAATAAATAACGAAAATAATACAAATATTTATATGACATACATATATATATGTTAGTCACTATAAGCATGGAATGTTAGATACAATATAAAACATAAACATCTTTTAGCTTATACGATAAAGAAAAAGAAATAAACCGAAAAATGATATGCAGCTTTTAAAATGCTATTAAAATGTTATTCACAGAATCTTGAGACACCTGTTTCGCGATATGTGTATATGTAGAGGAGATGATACAGGTAATCATTTCACTAGCAATCATTTAGGAATTATATAAAATCATAGCATCGTCTTGAGCGTATCTAAAAATATGATCTTATATTATGAAACAGTACGAGATGTAATGAATCAATATATGTATATTTCGTGGCACACAGGCAACTCGCCATTTATCATATATATATAACGTATAGAGAAAGCGACCAGTATTATGAAATTTCTTACGTAAATAGGCTGTGGTCATCCTTTGCTCCTTATAATAAGATACAATGTTACTTTATTTTAAATAAAATCTAAAGAGAAATAGTCGAGAGTGGACTATGTCTTAAATAAAAAAAGAAATACTAAAATCAAGCATTTTATATATATATAAAATAAATATTTTCCGTAATCTGTAATAACAAAACAAAGCATTAGGCAAGAATAAACTATGAGAACAAAACTTCTTCCAAATTCTTAGAGATATTAATAATTTACATTTTTACAAAAATGTAAATGTGTAAGAAACAAGAACCCTTCCCTCGGTTATAAAGTGTATTCGTATTTTTCATTTAAACGAAGCATTTATATAGTAATGTTATAATAATAGATAAAATAAAAAAAATAGAATCTAAATACTATTTATAATTAATAAAAAATAATACATTAAAGAACAAAGGTATAAACAAGCCTGCTGTTAAAATACGTACAATATATTCGTATATTGATCTTTCATTTAAAATAATTTGCGCAAACTAAAATGTAATACAAAATACAAAGCTGCAAAATTAAAAAATGCACCATTCTTTTCAGTGGAAATTTGTGTTAGATTTTATTTATTCAAATCGCAATGTGAATTGTAATGAACGTAACTCACTAAACTAATAAAAAGTTCATGTAAAATTGTAATTTTATAATTACATAAGCTACAGTTAAATTTAGACATATACGCTGACCAATGCACATCATTTGCTCTTGGTATAAAGTTTTATACATACATACATACATATATGAGCTTATTTGTATAATAATCATTATAGTAATTGAAATATAATGAAATCTACACAGTTTCTGTCAATATCTTTCATAATTATTATATAGCTGCAGCATGAAAAATTATACAATACTATTACTAACAGAATTTCTGTATCCTTTCTAAAACATAACATATTAACATTTTTTAGATATACGGAACTATGGCGATTTCAAATATTTCAATTAGCAATATACATATATGTATGTATGTACGTATATATATTAATATGTAACATATATTCTGACTCTGTCACACAATGTTATGTAATAACCGTTTGGAAAGCAATTATCAATTTCACAGATAGTCAAACTATACATATACTTTTTGCCGAGAAGCTTATCTTATTGCATTTAAGCATTACAACAGATAATATGTAGTGTGGAGCTATTTTGCTTAATTATTACTCTTAATCTTACTTTCTATCCATTCATCTTTGAGGAGATTTTTTTAACGAATCGATAAAACTGTTATATATTTGTAACCCATTGCAACATATCTTACTTGCTTCTTTATGCTTACTTGCTTATTACGAATATTATGAATCAGACTATTTTTTTTTACTTACTGTTAACAACTCGTAATATATTATACTCAAAGATGAAAGAGAGAAAGTAACGAGCTTTCGTTAGAGGACAAAGGATTTCGATAAATCGAAGAGAATATACTTTTAATAGACTTGGTTGATTACATATAAATATTTCGACATTAGTATTTCAATTTGGAATATTCTGATATTATTTTACTGCAAAATTTTAAATAATTGTTGCATTGTATTGGTTACTTTGTATGACTGTAATTATTTCTCTTTTTATTGTTATGAAATACTCAATTATCAAAATTTTAAGTTGCAGGGCACCCCGTCTTTTATATATCTATATATGTATATATAATTATCGCCATAACTATGTATAAATAGTTTATCCATTTGTTTACATACATACATAGCTATGTATACATTATATAATATTTATTTATGTTCTCGTGTATATAAATACACCTTAGTTATTTTAATGTGAACACTGTAGTTTATAGTACGAGGTACCATTCTCTCTTTATTAAAAAGATTTCATTAATATTTCATTCCTTTCAACTATCAAACTCGATTTTCAATCGAGTTTAAGCTCGAATCATTGGGCAAGCCGTAATCAGAAATTTTCTCTCTTTGACCCTCTTAAAAGAAAAAGTATAAAGCTTAATATTCCTTGCTTCATTTATAACTTCGTAAAATATTTAAAGACTTATCGACATTTTTATAGCATATTTCAGTCTGGTTCTTTTTATGACGCATTAAACAATGCATTCAATATATAGCATATACTGTAAATACCAATTTGTTTTCCTAGTCTCTAAGATTACGAATCGTTTTTGTTATTTATAGACCAAGAGTGCCCCCTTTTATGTATATATGACGGACAATCCTCTACTAATTACTGCGCCGTTTGCTGCTGTATTTCTATCTTTTCCACTGTCATATCCGGATTCATAGCAGTGGCCTCTTGTATCGCTTCTGCCAAAGCTCGATCGTGATCAATCGGATCACCATCCGATTGTATTGTTATCTTTTGTTCCACTCGTGTCTCAACTACACCATCTTTCTCCGTTTTATACTGTAAGACAAAAAAATATTAAATAAAAAATTATTGTAAACAATATTGATTTGGTTAGCATATAATGTACCAACCGTTATAGTTTCAACAGTACGGGTTTTACTGGATATAGTTTGTGTACTGACTATCTCTCCTGTGGCACTGTAGTTACCATCTTCACTTTCGAGAGCTACTTTTCTTGTTTCAGTTGCCACTACAGGTACCGTTGTTGTCGTCGTCACATTACTATCCGGTTCTCCTGTATAAACGTGCTTCTCAGTTGCGATCACGGCTGGATCTCCCTGGATCAAGATTTAATCACAATTCTTTTACTTAAGAGCTCTTTTAAACATCAATGAAAGATAAAAATAACAAAGAAAGATATAAAATTAATCGATATTAAAAATTAATAAGAAAAATAAGAATAATAGACAGTCCAGAAGATGAATCAATCTCACAAATCGATTTACCGAGATATATTTACATTTATGATATTACATCTGCCTCTTCGATTATATATGTACACCTCCGATAATTACGTATAATTCGCTAAAGTTGCAAAATAGTTTTCTATGTGGATCTTTGCACATCGCACAAAACAATATAAAATACATTTCTTTTAAATATTATGGAATATCAGCAAAAATATCTTAATGCAAATGCACCGGATTGGGTTAGCTGACAAGGCAAAATGCTAAAATTTTTTACGTGTATGAATACCTGTTCCCCGTTGTTCTAAATATGCATTATCTTCCGCTCCGTTTTAGTAGAAGAAAATTTTCGACCGTTACTCAATGGATTACCTGATAATATTGATTGTAGAAAGCTTGTTGGTCATCGTCAAGATCAATCGGTGTACCTGAATCTCCGCTGCTCGAACTCGATGTACTTAGCCTTCGTGAGAACAGCTACGCCATGCAACGTGTTAACCAAGCCGGCAAAATTATTTACAAGAAACAAAAATAAAAAAATAAACAATTCCGCATGAATATGAATAAATGAGGCTAACTGAATTATTGTTAAATTAATATTACAATTATATTTTTAATCCATTTAATAATAATGATATAATGAATGATATTTTGCTGTAAGCATTATTTATGCATGTATAATATAATGAAGTGTTAAGATAATATGACTTTTTCAACTAAAAATCTTTACATAATATATTAATATTTGTATATGTGAAGTGATCTTTTATGCATATGTGCTACATATGCGAAATGATCGTATGTATACAGCACAGTTACATGAAATGATATATATTTAAATGTAAAATAAGTTAGATCAAAATCCAAATAATATCCACGTAACAATTTGCAAAAACGCTTACATGCTTCACCTATTAATTTAAAGCGTATTTTTATTAAAAAGTTACGATTGGCATTACCTGTTCGCCGGAAAGCACATGACTCGTGGTTCGAACCTCTTGTGTTACTACACGTTGTTCCTGTCTCGTAGCACTAGTCGCAGTTGTATGTGCTACAGTTTTTTCCTCTACCTAATGTAAAAAATAAATTATAGCAAATAATAATTTGGCAAAATTAAAGGAACAAAGAATATATGGAATGTATGAATAAGTACATTACAAATATTTTTATTGTACGTAGCACAGGCTTTAAATAAATCTGCATTAATATGCTGCGAAGTGACGCTAATAATGCTCATTACAAACCTGACTTGTCTTCTGATTTTTTTCAAGATCCTCATGCATCGTAGCGGTACGTGTAGTGACAGCTGTCGCTGTCATGTACGGAGTTCTACCATCATCTGGTGCCTCTGCCTAAATACAACTACCATGTAACTAAGATCTCAAGATACATATAACTAATATAAATAGTAATTAGAAAATTTAACGAGAGTGCGAATTAATGAATAAAATATGATCTCTATGCATTGTATCATATTTGACGACACAGAAAGAGTTGTTTGCAAGAGAGAAAGAGAGAGTTTGCCTCTATATAAGATATAAAAAAATATAATTATTCAACAATTCAAATTCTTCAAGAAGAGTACTCGATATGTAACTTCTTTACTAAACATTTATTGCAAAATTTTAAAAAAATTCCAACTATGCATAATCATCCTAAAAAAATCTGTCACTCAATTTCATGCAATATATTTGAATAAATAAAAAAGAGCATTTTGTATTGATTAACAAAAAAAATCATATCATAATTTATAATATAATTTATAAGCATGCAAGGTCTTGTTTGTTCAGTATGATGTCTGATGTTACGTTAAATGTTCGACTATTAAAAGGTTGAATCGTAACGTGTCTAATTTAGTCTTTTATTCTTTCCAAATGTATCACCTTGTTGACGTGAGTAGAGACCATAACTTGGCCTGTACCACCGGGTGTAAGATCCTCGATCTTTTCCTGAATATTCTGTGTCACACCTTCCTGATCCTTGACCACCGATTGCTTGGTTGTTGTTTTCACAATTGTCGGTATCACAGCTGGAACCGCAAGTTTCTTTAATTTCGTCGCAGTGGATTTTGATGCCTCTTGTAAATCCTTCAGAATCGTCTTGCTGTCCACTAACTGGCCGTTGTTTCCATATATCACACCGTCTTTCACGTACGATCCGTCCTCGTCGAAAAGTTCCTGATTGTACGGTTTTCCGAATTTGTCGTAAATCTTGCCGTCTTTAACGAAACCACCATCAGTTCCGAATGGTGCTCGTGCGACCGGTTTTCCATCCTTGTCACATACTAGTCCTCTATGTACCATTGTGATCGTGATAGTCGTAAAATGTTTATCGAGTGGTTTTCCAGTAGGCGCGCAAATTATTCCATCCTTGACGACATTTCCTTCGGCATCGAAGCTCACCTGTTTCACCGGTTTTCCAGTTTTATCTACCACGACACCTTGTATAACTTTCAGACCTTCTGGCCCGAATGCCTCCTGCGTTAGTGGCTGACCATTCGCATCGTAAACCTTGCCGTTTTTGATGAAACTGATTTCCGGTGGTAAATTTTCATGAGAGAGAGGTTTCCCATTGCGTCCATAAATCAAACCATCTTTAATGAAATTACCATCTTGGCCGTAAGCGTTTTGGTTGAGGTATCTTCCCGCGTCATCGTAAATCCTGCCGTTTTTTACTACGCTGCCTTCGCTGTCAAAATTGCCATATCTTAATGGTTTCCCGTCATCACCGCAGACTAAGCCAT